CCACGTGAAGTCGGAGCTGCAGAAGAGACACACGTGCACAGACCTGGGTGAACTGACAAGCTATCTTGTCTTGCGGATCACCCGGGACAGAGCACGCCGCACCATCACCTTGACTCAGTCACACATGGTGCAGCAGGTCCTTCGGCGATTCCGCTTCACGTACTCCTCGCCTCAGCCCACTCCTCTGCCTACCGGTCACTCGCTCTCAGCTCTGCCTTCGGATGAGTCTGTAGAGCCGAGTGGCCCGTATCCAGAGCTTGTGGGTTGCCTCATGTACCTGATGACTTGCACTCAACCAGACCTTGCATACCCTCTCAGCATTCTTGCACGCTATGTCGCTCCCGGCCGTCACCGGAAGGAGCACATGGATGCAGCTAAGAGGGTGTTGCGCTACTTGTGCAGTACGTCGGGCATGGGGCTAGTGCTTGGAGGGCGAGTCCCAGTTGTTCTCACTGTGCACTCAGACGCTTCTTGGGCAGACGACCAGGCTACTCAGCGGTCGTCTCAGGGTTACTCCTTCATTCTTGGCTGTGGTTCTGTTTCTTAGCGTTCTACTCACTCTTCTTCTGTTCTCAGCTCCAGTTGTGAGGCTGAGATCTACGCCACAGCCATGGCGGCCCAGGAGCTATGCTGGCTCACCTACTTGCTGACCGACCTTGGAGAGCAGCCTCGTTCTCCTCCAGTGCTGTACGTCAACAACAAGGCAGCCATTGCCTTGTGTGAGGAGCACTGACTGGAGCACAGAACGAAGCACATTGCTCTGCGTTACTTCCTTGCTCGAGAGTTGCAGCAGCCTGGTCAGCTTCGCCTGCATTATGTGGCCTCTGAGGCCAACACTGCTGATGTGTTCACCAAGGCGCTTCAGCCTTGTGACCATCAGCGCTTTTAACCTCTTCTAGGCCTTGTGCCTACTTGACCTCACTTGCTTACTTCTTGAGTCTGTTTGTACTGTGATCTCTATATATATACCTGCATGTTTACTCTTGTTAGGTTGTGATCATTGTACCTTTTGCTCTATTATAAACCTGCATGTGAACTGGTCTTGTGACCACTTGCTTGTGCTCGGAATTTGTGTGGTATCCTTGAGATCCACCCTGAGCTTGTTTTGCCTTGCTTTGCCTTGAGTGGTCTTGTGACCCCTAGTTCTCCCCCACTTTGCCTATGGGGGTGTGTCAAACATTATATATGTTGGGTTAGTTTAGGCTACAGTGGGTTAGCCTATAGGGGGTACACAATTCTAGGGTTAGGTACTTGTACTCATTTCACTGCTAGTTCATTCATTCCTGTTCAGTGATTCCAACAGCATGTGGATCTTCAGGGTGAAGCGGCCGCCGGGCTCTCCACCTGTCTTCAAGGCGCGGTACGTGGCTCGTGGCTTCAGTCAGCGGCATGGAGTTGACTACTTTCAGACCTTCTCTCCCACCCCAAAGATGACCACTCTTCGGGTGGTGCTACACGTAGCCGCTCAGCGTAACTACGAGCTTCACTCCCTTGACTTTAGCACTGCTTTCTTGCAGGGTAGCCTGCACGAGGAGATCTGGTTGCGCCGTCCACCTGGCTTCACTGGGACTTTCCCTCCTGGCACCCAATGGAGCCTCCGACGGCCCGTCTACAGTCTCCGCCAGGCACCGCGCGAGTGGCACAACACACTGAGGACTACACTTGCGGCTCTTGGGTTTGCTCCCTCTACTGCTGACCCGTCGCTGTTTCTGCGCACCGACACCTCTCTGCCGCCGTTCTACATCCTCGTGTACGTCGACGATTTGGTCTTTGCCACAGGTGACACTGCTGGACTCGCCCACGTCAAGTCCGAGCTGCAGAAGAGACACACGTGCACAGACCTGGGTGAACTGCGCAGCTACCTTGGCTTGCAGATCACCTGGGACAGAGCACGCCGCACCATTACCCTGACTCAGTCACACATGGTGCAGCAGGTCTTTCAGCGCTTCGGCTTCACGTACTCCTCGCCTTAGGCCACTCCTCTGTCTACTCGCCACTCGCTCTCAGCTCTGCCTTCCGATGAGTCCGTAGAGTCGAGTGGCCCGTACCCAGAGCTAGTTGGCTGCCTCATGTACCTGATGACCTGCACACGACCTGACCTTGCATACCCTCTTAACATTCTTGCACGCTATGTTGCTCCTGGGAGACACAAACCAGAGCACATGGCTGCAGCAAAGAGGGTGTTGCGCTACTTGTGCAGTACGTCGGGCATGGGGCTAGTGCTTGGAGGGCGGAGTCCAGTGGTCCTCACTGGGCACGCAGACGCTTCTTGGGCAGACGACCAGGCTACGCAGCGGTCGTCACAGGGTTACACCTTCAGCCTTGGTTCCGGCTCTGTTTCGTGGCGGGCTACTCGCTCGTCTTCTGTTCTCGGCTCCAGCTGTGAGGCTGAGATCTACGCCGGGGCCATGGCTGCACAGGAGCTTCGCTGGCTTACCTACCTGCTGACTGACCTCGGAGAGCCGCCTTGTTCTCCTCCGGTGCTGTACGTAGACAACAAGGCCATGCTAGCCTTGTGTCGGGAGCAGCGCCTGGAGCACAGAACGAAGCACATTGCTCTCCGCTACTTTCTTGCTCGTGAGTTGAAGCAGCGTGGTCAGTTGCGACTTGCGTACGTGGCCTTTGAGGCCAACACTGCTGATGTTTTCACCAAGGCACTTCCGCCTTGTGATCATCAGCGCTTCTGCACTCAGCTGGGTCTTGTGCCTGTCTTGCCTCACTTGCTCACCCCTTGACCTTGCTTGTACTCTTACATATATATATACCTGCTCTTGCTTGTTTAGCCTTATATATATGTGTACTCCTGCATGTGAACTGGCCTTGTGGCCTTGACCTTGTGCTCGGACTGTGTGGTGACGTTGTGATCCACCCTGAGCTTTGTCTGCTTTGCTGGACTGGTCTTGTGACCCCTTGTTCTCCCCCACTTTGCCTATGGGTTTGTGTCAAATTTTAATATTGTGTAGGGTATAGTGGGGTAGCCCATATGGGGTACACATTTCTAGGGTTGCACATTTGTATCACTTCCATTCCTTAGTCATTCATTCTCGTTCTACTTTTTCTGAGTTGGGGCTGGTTCGATATGGAGCCTCTGATTGGCCGCGAAGCTGATTGGTTCAATGATAAGGTCAAACTGCCAGATTTCTCGCCAAAACCGGGACTCTAGGGTTCGGGCCAACCCTAGGCGATATCGGAAAATTCTACTCAGGGTGGAAAAGGAACTCTCTTAGCGAAAGCCTCTAACCCGGAACATCTGTACTGCCTTTTCGATCGGGGCGCAGAAATACTGTATCTGCGCACGTTGTCTCATTGTGCATGGCTACTGGTAAACAAAAACCCCATTATGTACACTTGCATCTTTGGACACTTCTGAACAGTCCCTACTAGTGGTACATATTGACGATGTTGTCGTTTAGGTGACTGAAGTTTACACTTAAGTTCGGGCTAATTATATTGCCTGCCACAAAACATTGACAGCTATCTATCCGCGTCCCTGCTCTGTCACGGATCGTCACTTGTTCCTTCAAATATATCAATGGTCTCACTGTTTTCGTAGTTAACCACTTGCTTAGCAAAATTGATTGCGAACCGGGTGCTGTTGAATACCCTTAAGTTTTTCTATGGTCAGGGTTGATATCTTGGTCAAGTATCGTGAAATGATTCCCACATCTGGCACACAAGTTTCCAGGTACAATTGATGCCCAACAAGTGCACGCGGATTTGCCTTGCGCCGGATGGAAACGCTGCACCCGAGGTTGTTTCCCCAGCCTGTTGCTCCCATGTTATAAGCGCGTCGCGTGGTTATCAACCAATAGTAACGAACAGATCGAGGTCAAGCAGAAGAGACTGAAGTCAAATAAGGTAACAGAGCTTGTTTATATGCACCTGCGAATCCTTTTTGGCTAGCTGCGAATTGACGAAACTTATGCGAAATGCTTGCTACAGCTTATACGCCCTCTTCACAAGGCAACCGGGACGGGCTCAAACAGGCATCAGTTGTACAGTAATGATGAAGGAGGGGGAGAGCCTCCTTTGGGCACACAAGTTTGCACATTCATGTCGGTGCATGGGCACACAAGTTTGCAAATTCATGTCGGTGCATGTAAAGGCCAGACTGACGTGTCTACTGCTGACATGGTGTCCAATCTATTTTGGCGGGCGAACATCAGCCGCTGAGAACATTTTCATCGCGGCCATGAGACCTGCGTACAGGTGGCAAAACGGAGGATTTCGTGTGTTCCAGACCCTGAAAGGCTCTACGAGATTAGTTATCTCTCAACCGGCACCGTGGAGTCTTCTCAGATTATCGGTAAGCGAGTCTTATCCGTAGTACTACTACTACGACGTTCTATATGTTCTATCGTTAGGTTAGAATCGCAACATGGCTGGGCCCGCAAACTGTAACCCTAAAGTTACGTTGGGGTAACACGATTACCTTCCTGAAGGTGTAGAATGATACCACGTGAGTGAAGTTGTCTTTGTGGCTGAGAAGGCTACCTCGAAAGCGCATCCCCGACCAGGGCACACCTGCGGTTCAGTCATGTCGTGATGACGCAACCCTGCGCAGCTCGTAATCAATCGTCGTTATTGGCTCTACTAGATTTCTGGTAACCCGTCCAGTGACTTTTGCCTAGAACGTTGCGCATGCCACCTTTCGGGTGTTTCGACGTCCCGAGCTCCCGGAGCTTCGTCACGTGCACAACCTGGGGTAAGCGCCGTGAGCACAATCACAGGTCTCTTCCCCTCCCCCCTCCCCCTCTTTCCCGCAGGGCAGTAATGCCGCGCGGCGCGACTACTACTACTAGTACTTCCCATCGTCCCGGAGCCCTGTTGAGTTTGCGGGTGTGCGGCGGCAGGCCCACTCAAGGCCGCGCCGCGCTCATCCACCCGCGGCGTCGGAGCTGTCACCACCTGAGAGACCGAGCGCTGGTGGTGCGCCATTATATGCGAGGGGGCGTTGAGTGGCGGGAGGAGTTGGGGAACGGAAAGGGCGGCGAGGAGCGATGGGGAGGAGCAATGGCGGGGGGGTGGCTGGGCGGGTGGCGGTGATGGGCGTGTTGGCGGTGATGGCGATGGTGGGGAGCGACGAGGGCCTCACGAAGGGCGGTTGGGCGCAGCGCTGCTTCTGGCGCAGCAGCGGCTGCAGCCGTGGCTTCCTCCCCATCATGATGGCGCACGCTGCTCCCCTTGACCCCACCCAGTGTGAGCGTGTGATTGCGGGAGTGTGGGGAGTCCGAGTGTGTGCGTGCGTTTGTGCATGTGTGTGTGTGCATGCGGCGTGCGTGTATAACGCCTCGTTACCCACTGAGTCAAAAGAGGGTGTTATTTGGGGCTGCAGAATGCCCTTAGCACTAGCCCACACGCGTTACATCGTCCCCCCCTGGTGCCAAGTTGCCAACGTCCCCGTGGCTCTGAACTTCAGGGAGTTGGCCCCCTCCTGGAACCTAGATTTCGCTGTTCTGCTAGCAGCGACTTCGCTGGTTGCCCAGGCCGGCGGAGGATCGTTCGCTGGGTTCAAGTCTGGTAACCACATTTCAGTTCTCACCACAGGCGGAATATGTGGACCAGCCAGGATTTGAAGTCTCTGATACCACTATGACGCCTCGGCTACCCATTGGGTCAAAACGAGGGTGTTATATGGCGCAGCAGAATGCAAGTAACAATAGCCCACAGGCATTACATCGTGCGTGTGTGTGCATGCATGCGTGTGCGCACGCGCGCGCACGCGTGTGTGTGTGTGTGTGTGTGTGTGTGTGTGTGTGTGTGTGTGTGTGTGTGTGTGTGTGTAACTGTGTGTGCTGCAGGGCACCCAAGGCAAAGCACCACCAGGTCTTGCCATCGGATGCACATGCCATTCACATCATCGTCATCTCATGGCCTGGCTTCACCGCAACCTCTTTCCGTTCCATGAAATCGCAGCACACGCGTTCCTCGTCCCTTGCGTCTCAATGCCCCTCTGTTGCGCGCTCACATTGTTGCGCTGACCCCATTTCTGTGCTGAACCCATTGCTGTGCTGCACAGGGCCAGGGCTGCGAGACATGAAGGCGCAGTGGAGCAGTATAATACCGGCCATCACCGACACCTGGGCAGAGAACGCAGACTGCAACGGATTCGGAAGTGTCACGTGCAACGGTGCTGGCTTCGTGACAACGATGTGAGTGTGGGGCATTCCTGGAATGGAGCTCTCTTGGAATGAGGAGCGTACAACGTGAGATGTAATGCCTGTAGGCTCACACGAGCGCGGAAAGGCATCCGCGGCGCCTTTGGAGAATAACCCCCCCGTTTGACGCAGTGGTGTGGCGGGCGTTACATGAGGCGCTCATTCCAGATTGTGTAGAATGGATTTGTGCGCCGTCATGAGTCGGCTAGTCGTTGTTATGCCGACCTGTTTCGGTTATTCAGCACCTTTTATTCTGCAGCCTCACACTCTCACCTTGGCCTATTCGTGGATGCATTGCACTGTGTGGATCAGAGACTTGAAACAAAACGATCTAACGGGCTCCCTTCCTGTGACCATTAGCGTCTTCAACAGCCTCGAATACCTGTACGTACTCTTTCACAATTCTTAGTGTCCCTCCTTCTCATCCCCTGCCTCTCGTTCTGACGTGGGCACGAGGTGTTTCAAGGGAAACCAGGCTGGGTTGGTCTTGAGCCCGCAAAAGTGTGGAGTTGAGACGATTTTCATAGGGTTTTCTCGACCAGCACTTAAGAAGCTTGTAAGTAGAGTTCACTAAGCGAATTATCGGCTATATACGGACACGACCTAAAACCATCGAGCCATATTGCCGCGCTTTCTCCAGACCCAATCCCGGTCCAATGCCGGGGGGGCAAGTGTAACTCAAATGTACACCTCTGTTCGACTTGGCGATTCGATTCAGCCACTTGTTTGCCCATATCCTCTTTGCCTTGGTGCAGCTTGAATCGTCATATGGTCGCCACATCACCCCCCTATCACTTTCATCCTCCAGTGTTACACACACAAACATCTTATCACCCTCCCGTGCCTCGCCTTCCTTTCTCACTCTCTCCCTCTTCACCATTGCTCTCCCCTCCCTCCCCATGCCTCCTTCGTTCCCACTCAGCTATATAGAGGAAAACTATTTATCGGGCTCACTCCCATCGACCTTCTCCAAACTCGTTTCTCTGAAGGAATTGTGAGATGCCCTTCCATCTGCCATCTGCCAGTTGGTCATGTTGCTGCAAAACGCACGCATGCAGCCCCCTATTGAGTCGGCAAAACCAATGTTTCTGGTTATTGTCACATCACACGTTTCTGTGAGCCTTCGAACTCGTGCCAGGTCGTGTAATTGTTATGTGCCGACTGTGAGAAGTAGAAGGGAACAGAACGACTAGAATGACAGCATAGGTACATATAGGAAACCTTAGCCTGTCCAACCTAGCTTAACAAAGTGTACACATACAATATATAAGTGTACTTTGACATCGACAATCCAAATTGAAAACCTTTGGCTTGTGACAAGCTGGCCATGTGTCGGCAATCCCGGCTCGCCACTAGCCGTTCGCGGGCCAGCCCGTTCTCATGGAGCGATTTCTGCGAATCTTCTTGCCTCCCCTTGCACGCCTTTCATCCCCTTGCACGCCTTTCATCCCCTTGCACGCCTTTCATCCCCTTGCACGCCTTTCATCCCCTTGCACGCCTTTCATCCCCTTGCACGCCTTTCATCCCCTTGCACGCCTTTCATCCCCTTGCACGCCTTTCATCCCCTTGCACGCCTTTCATCCCCTTGCACGCCTTTCATCCCCTTGCACGCCTTTCATCCCCTTGCACGCCTTTCATCCCCTTGCACGCCTTTCATCCCCTTGCACGCCTTTCATCCCCTTGCACGCCTTTCATCCCCTTGCACGCCTTGCCCCACCCACCACACAGCGTCGCCAATAACAACCAGATCAGTGGGCCCCTGCCTGATGGTATTGGTGCTCTCACTAACATGTACCAGCTGTAAGGCCCTCCACTCCACTCCTCGCACGCCTTCTGACTGCCTCCCTTTTCTCCCCCCCTTCCCCCCCCCCTCCCCCCCCTCCCCAAGTATGTTTTCTCCCATCAAACTCGCTCTGTCATGCCATTTCCTCGCCTTGTATCTCTCGCCCTCTCCCTCCCTATCCATGTGCTTTTGCAGCAAACTTCAACGCAGCTGCTAGCCCACACATTCTAGTTGATGATGCTCGATAGCATACTCACTCACTCACATCACACACAACTCTAGAGCCGTAACGCATTCACGTGCAGAATGTACAACAAATGCCTTTCAACCTCATTCCGATACATCTCGTTTCCATTGCACATTGCTTCTTCGAAACAGGCAATTGCACTACAACCAGTTGGAAGGGCCACTCCCAGCATCCTTCACCCATCTATCTGTGCTAAGGATATGGTAAGGTGGCCCCAACAAACAGCGGCGCATCTCATGCTTGTCCCAGACAAGGGCACCCAGACTCCATCCACCAATGCACGATCACATGGTCTTATAGCAGTTGGCATCAAGCATTCATTACTTGGAGAGCGGTACGGGTGCAATGCACTTGCATGGCTCGTCGTAGGCATGGTCAACCTTGGCCCTGAGTGTTGCTGTGCTGACGGCTTGCCCTGGGGCCAGCCCACGATGGGCTGGTTCCTCCCCACTAACCCAGCCAACCCTTGACCATCTCCTAGTAGTGACAGTCCAAGCTCAGCCTGAATCAGGCCAGGATTTGCCCAATGTTTGTGAATCACAGCCCGTTGTCTTCACTGTGAAATGCAACAACGTTTGTGATGCTTGGAGGGCCACTCCCAGCATCCTTCACCCGAGCGCGACGCATGGCTCATTAAAGCTGCGGTCTACATACTTTGAGGCATTTTCCGGGGGCATTTATGGAGAGCACCCTATGACGGCCACTGATTTGACAGCGAACCAATCCACTCAGTGAAACTAGTGTGCGATGTGACTCCAACATGGTTTGCGAGCCCCGCCAGTTTCGTGCGGAGGGTCGTGTGGGAAAACAGCAACAGTAAGGGCGGAAGCCCGGTTGAGTCTGGGGGAAGAATGTGCGGAAGGGCGGAAGCAATACACACATTCTCAGGTGAATTATCAGGAGCGGGGTCCAGTGTTGTCTGCAAAACGAGAAATCGCCCACGGCACCAAAGCACGGAGAGAAGCTAAGCAGAGAATAAGCGGCTAATCATAACGAGTGAAGTTCCTTACATACCGCAGCGACGAAAAGACTCAACCGTAGGGCATGGCTGCTGACGCCAAAAATAAAACATAGAGGAACAACTTCGCTTCGCTAAAGGCCAGCGGTGAATGCGACGCATTCAAGTCGTCCGGACGCCACTTGGCGGGGACTTCCAAAGAGACGGATATTTGGCCATTGCGAGATTACCGTGCTCACCGCCTTATTGCAGTGTGGCGTCGAGCTCGTCCTGAAATGACACGAATAGCGACTAGGCGTTAGCACCAACGCTAAGGCCGGCTGAACGGGGTGACGCAGAGAGCGTTGAGCACGACGGTTCCGCCGCCCGGTTCGTTGGCAAGCAGCACGACGCGTCGTATTATAGTAGCCGAACACGAAGGATCGCGGCGGTGAACGCGGAGCAGGAAGGGGGGATTGGAGAGCGTCGATTAGGTTTAGAAGGTGCGAACTTCTAGTGCCTGTGTTTTGGAAGCTCTGTGTCGAGTGAAGTATGGCTCTCGTGAGAGTCAGAGATATTGGTCTACAAACTCAATCGGTGAGTCAAGTTCTAATCTGAACCCCGAGGCCCCCCCCCCCTTCCGTCCGCGTCGATTGTTGGGTTTTCCGCAGGGGTCCGCAACACAAAAAGTAACCCTGTTTTCAAGTGATAAACCATCCCTCCCCGCTCGAAGTATCTAGGTGACTCAAAGCTCGATTCGTTGCTCATGTCTGTCAATGCGTTGCTTGCTCCCATGGCCTTCATCAACACCACGACACTCATGAAAGGCTCGTCTCGTCTAAAACAACCTGCTTCCTTTCTGAACTTTCGTCGTCCCCCCATCAGCGAGATTTTCAACAACCAGATTTCGGGATCTCTACCAGAGACGCTTGGGAGTCTCTCCCAATTAATATCTTTGTGAGTTCTCCCTCTCGTCGCCTCATCCTGTGCTTCCCCCTCCTCTCTAGTTTGCTCCTCCTCCTTTTCCACACGAGAGTCATGACCCTCTCTGTGGCCTTGCGGGTTGTGATCATATGCTTGCCCTGGTTGTCTCCAGGAAGACATGTGCCACAATGCCTGTCACTCACCCCCTTTGTTGCTCCTGCTATGCACCCAATCCGGATTCACCCATGCATCCAATAAGAAATGCATCACCATTCTTCTCTCGCTATGAGTTCCTTCTTTCAAACCCCGGCTTTGCTTCCTGCCTTGCTGCGCATCACATCACATCGCATCGCATCGCATCGCATCGCATCGCATCGCATCGCATCGCATCGCATCGCATCGCATCACATCACATCACATCACATCACGTCACCCCAGCCGTGCCCACAACAACCTCTTCTCGGGTTCTGTGCCTTCGACTTTAACAACCACGACCAATCTCGCTTTCCTGTGAGCTACCCCCATCCATGTCACTCAGCCAGCTGCTCAACTTGAGCCGTCGACATGACATGATGAGCATAGGACCAGGTTAGGGGTTGGCCTGGACTGGCTACAACTGGAAAGGCTTGTGGCACGGACGGGACCTGTAGCCCTCTCATTCAGCTGAGTCACATGCTTCACTTGTAAGCCCATTATTTTGCGGGAACTTGGTAAATCGAAATCTTCATTGTTTGGATAAAATCTCTGGCTCTCCCTCAGTCCTTAGCCGTGTCCCCAACATTTTTTCTCCACACCCCGGCCGTGTCCCCTCTCAAGTAGGATAGAACTACCGGCTAGCTTCTTTGAAGTTTGAACACTATGATTACCAGGGCCTTTGAAGAATGTTGGCTCACACCCTGGGCCCTGCCCAGGGTCATGCCTAGTATTTAGTGACTTGCTTTGCACAGCCTAGTCTCGGTCATTCATGAATGCCCATTGCCAAGTGTGAGCGTGCGTGTGGGCCTTGACTTGGAGCAAGCGGCACATCAAGAGAGGGCGGGCGCTGCATCACTCCCTCCCACTGCTGCACGTGCACCCTTGCTACAGTGCACCCTTGCTACAGTGCACCCTTGTTACAGTGCACCCTTGCTACAGTGCACCCTTGCTACAGTGCACCCTTGCTACGGTGCACCCTTGCTACGGTGCACCCTTGCCACGGTGCACCCTTGCTACAGTGCACCCTTGCGACAGTGCACCCTTGCTACAGTGCACCCTTGCTACGGTGCACATTTGTTACAGTGCACCCTTGCTATGGTGCACATTTGCTACAGTGCACCCTTGCTACGGTGCACCCTTGCTACAGTGCACCCTTGCCACAGTGCAAACGATTCGGCCTGCCGTTCCTTCTGAATTGACCCTGTTCTTCCTCTCCTGTGACCCGTCCATCCCTCATCACCTCTCCTGCCCCTCCCTTTCTCTCCCCATCGCCGTTTGCACCTGTCTCTCCCCCTGCCCCCTGTTGCATTTCTCCTGCCCCCTGTTGCATTTCTCCTGCCCCCTGTTGCATTTCTCCTGCTCCCTGTTGCATTTCTCCTGCCCCCTGTTGCATTTCTCCTGCCCCCTGTTGCATTTCTCCTGCCCCCTTTTGCATTTCTCCTGCTCCCTGTTGCATTTCTCCTGCCCCCTGTTGCATTTCTCCTGCCCCCTGTTGCATTTCTCCTGCCCCCTGTTGCATTTCTCCTGCTCCCTGTTGCACTTCCCCTCGCCTAGCACGGCAGTGAGCTGGGGAACAATGCCCTGAGTGGAACTATCCCTGCCAACCTGGCCACTATTACGACAATTGGCGATATGTGAGGCATGGGGCGGATGGATGCAGCATGGGTGTGGAGTCATGGCACGCACTGTGCACATAATAGATGGATGTGCTTGTGGTATGGGGTTTTGGTCATGAATTACGGGTTATAGGGAGGGGTGTGGCATGGTGCATGGGGCATGGGGCATCGGGCATGGTGCATGAGACATGGTGCATGCGCATTAGTGCATGGTAGTAGTTGCCCTAAGAAGTGTTTTGTTCTCATGGCGTATTCTGTAGCGCACACATTGAATTGGAGAAAGGAGCTACATTAGTGGAGCATCATTGCATGCCTCTTCTATCCTGTCGTCTCGTGAACTATGACATGTGTGTGTGTGCCGCTCATCATTCAACCTTCCTTCAAGCCCGTTCAACCCTCCTGCTCATTCAAAACCTGTCGAGGTCATAGTCCCAAACTGTTAGAACAACAAATGGACCGTCGAACTGCAGACTGTGCTTACGTGATCAGCCCATGTGTTGTCCAAATCGGCCAAGGGGTGTGAAGTCCAATGGAATCCATTCTGCGGACCCACACGCCTCTCCTTGTTGACCAATCAGCTCGACTTGCTCGGCGCTCGCCATTTAAGCCCGTGCGATCCTGCGCGCTGTGTGTTGAAATCCTTCCCTCCATTAAGTTCACTACGTCTCACTCATATCTATTTGCCTCTCCAGTGGCCTCCCACCCACGCCCTGCCACAGCTGCGTCCGGATGCACATTGCTTCCCCACATCTATTGCTTATCCACATTTCCCTCCTTTTTTATACATTTTCTCTTGCGTGTTCACCCTTCCCTTCCCGACTCTGGCTGCACCTTCTTCCTCAGAAATTTGGCGCACAACAAAATCAGTGGCCCCCTTCCAACGACATGGACGACACATGATCTTTATAAGCTGTGTGTGTCTCGTTCTCCCCTCCCCCCCCCCCCCCCCCCCCCCCCCCCCCCCCCTTTTTTTTTTTTTTTTTTTTTTTTTTTTTTTTTTTTTCGGGTATATCTGTGTGCTTTTATGTGAAATCTCTACTCTGCTACACCGGTTATATCAGTGCACATGCCATGCCACACAGCACACCACGAACACCACACCACTGGGCATGCCGCATCGCATCACCAGCTACATGAGCCAGATGGTAAGCTCAACTGGTGGAAAACAGCTTGTTCTCACTCAGTCGACGGAGTCGTCTTGACAACCACCGGCCTGACCCAACTCGTAATCGTTTCTTCTGATATCTATTTTTTTTTTCTTCAGATCTGCCCTTCTCAAGTCATCTAGTGTAGCCTTGCTCCGGAGACCCCTCACGCCCCTCCACCACCTTCACCCAGGTTTTGTGTTTCCCTTTGCAGGAAACACAAATTCGTGCCCGTAGTGGTGTAAGAAAAGCATTGAGGGCTGCTATCGGGCATGGGTTCGATCGACAATGAGCATGAGCAAGAAACGAACCACAATCAGTTTGGTTCATACCGCCAGAAACTGGCTCGTCACGAGCCTCACCCCATTTCCACGAGCACAACTGGGCAGCAGAGCTCTGCTCGGCTTGGCTCCTTGGCTCCGGCTTGGCCCCATTGTGGTCTCGTCCATCTAGGCTTAAGGCCCACACAGCCCAAATTGCGCAAGATTAGTAAACTTGTGCAAGGTTGAGTGCTGGGTGGTCGGGGTGCTGTACGCAGAGTCGAGCAAGGTGTTGGAGGGAGGTCCCTCCCTCTCGCAACCTTTGATGTTTTTTCTCTGGGCCAGCAAACCCCAGGCCGGTCCATGGTGTGTTTGGACGGAGAGTCTTAATATGCAGAGGGTGAAACCTTATGTTTTAGCAGTGAGTTTTGCCTCGGCCAATCATCTGTTTTCGCACCTACCATAACCAGACGTCCGCCAAGATAGAGCATCCAAAACGCCAACAGTGCAAGATTAGAAAGGTTGACCCGCGCGCTCCGCACTTTGAGACGCGGGCTTAATCGAAACCCAATCGGCTGCTTTTGGCTACATCGTACTACCCCACGCCACACGTCTGCCCGCACAGGGAAACCACCGGCTCTAGATGGCCTCACTGCATCGACATGCATTACTGCATCACCATGCCATGTCTCTCTGCAACGCCGTTTGGGATGCCGTGGCTCCCTGCTCCTGCCTCTGCCTGCGTCCCATGCACAAAACGCCTTGAACCAAAGAATGCATCCCTCTCTGCATCTCGTTTCCCCCCTCCTTCCTCACCTCCCCCCACTCCCAACCTAATCTGTCACTGCCATTCCATCTCATCTCCCACTGCTGTATTCCATTGCGGTTGGCCAGTGTTCAACCGTCTCTTTCTTTTTGTGCCATTCCTCTTTTTTCTTGCCCCAGCAACATCGGCAACAACCTGTTGACTGGCACTATACCGGACGATATAACTGGCTTGATCTATCTCACACTGCTGTAAGGCTCACACTGCTGTAAGGCTCACACTGCTGTGAGGCTCACACTGCTGTTTCTTTGTGACTAGTTGTCCCCCCCCTCTCCTGCACCCCACCCTTGCCTCCCCCTCCCACCCCATCCCCCCGTTTTTTTTTAGTGCGTTGAGTTTGAGTGTAGTTGTCACACAGTTCATTCCATCCATGTATATCCCCAGCAACTCATTCTTGCCGCCTCCGTGGAGGAGATGCGTGTGCTGATGGGCTTTATTTCTCTCTCTCTTTGTACTGTCCTCACTCCTTTCCATATACTGTCCCTCGTTCTTTTCTCGCCATCTTTGCACTGCCAACATGTTGCAACCCCTCTCTATCTTAGCGGGCCCACTTCAAATCTTGGCCTTTTACCCTCTCCATTGACTGCTCTGCTCCCGAGCATGCATTGCACACTTGCCTGTCCGGATATCGATAGCCCCGACTTGAGCAAGGGCCCGAGCTGAGCCATCTTGCTTCGAGCCAGAGCTGGTTCGTCATTCACCCGAACCAAGCTGGCTCGCTCACAGGTCCAGGGGGGGGGGGGGGGGAGGTGGGGGGGGGGGGGGGGGGGGGGGTGGGGGGAAACAGGGGAGAGGTGAAAGGAGAGAGGGTAGGGCTCACTTCAAGCAACCACCCCGGCTCACTTGGAGTGGTCCTGCTCCTTCAGGCCCTTCACCAGATTGGCCACAAATATTTTCTGAAGAACCAGGAATTCTGTGACTTCACTGGAGTGTGACCCCGACGCGAATCGCTTCTAGTCGAGCGGCCATCTCGAGACGGGACACGCCAAGAAACGACTCAGCCATTACCTCAGAGACCATCACATCGTGCTCATGCCTTCACACTTCATTCTAGCTTTCCTCCTTTCATTTCCTCAGTCTCCACCTCCCTTCCTTCTTGTTACATCCAGGGACCTGAGCTCCAACCGTCTCACTGGCACCATACCACAAGGTCTTGCTGATCTTCCCGAGCTAGAAACTCTGTGAGTCCCCCATACACCCGCAACTCAGCTGTCCTCTCATGCTTCCAACAGTAGAACTGGGCTCCCAGGCTCCAGCCTTGCGGATAACAGTGCTCACTCTTTTCTCATTTGCTCTCCCCCGTCGGGTTGCATTCCCCATCCCTCCATTCCCCATCCTTCGATCCCCATCCTTCTATCCCCCATCCTTCCACCTCTACCCGCAGCAACCTGAGGAACAATCAGCTCACAGGGAAGGTGCTTGAGCCCGTGCCAGCAGCAATAGTAACGTACAAGCTGGACAGCAACTACTTCAATGAAGGGTTCTCCTCCCCCCCACCGTGTGACCAAGCCTACATCACATACAGCGGCAACTGTGCGGCCACACCAGCACAGGGTCTAGTGTGTGGAGACAGCTCTCAGAAGACCGACGCTGTGTGCGCTGCCTTCTGCGGTGTCTCTCCCACTTCACCTGCCTGCAACGGCCATGGCGTGTGCTTCTTGGACGGCCCCAGCAACACGCCCACATGCCTCTGTGACGAGAATTTCGTGGTTGGGGAATATACCGGCAGCTGTGTGCCTGTGGCAGGTGAGCCCTTCACAGCCTGACTGTCTGAGCATTACGTGTCATTGCCATTCCATGCCTTGTTTCCACAGCACCTCAAGATTCATCCCATGGCAAGCCTTGTTCCCAATCTACTTATTCTGCCGCCAAGCATACAATATTTTCACGATTTCTTGCCTTGACTGAGCTTATATATACCTGCTGCTGGTGGCAGGCTGCTTCCTCTTAGAAATCTCGTTCTGCATTTGCCTCTCTGACCATCGTTATGCCTTTCCCCTGCTTCCAGGTGGTAAGACAGAGCAGGATTTGACGCCCACAGGAACCATGTTCACAGCCACTGGAGACGCCTCAGTAAATGCAGCCACGCTCACTCTGACGCCCGCCCAGCCGTCCAAGGCTGGCAGTGTGTTCCTGGCAGCGCGCGTGCCGCTCTTCTCCTACCAGCTCATCGGGGACGCCTGCGGCCGCCAGCTCGCCTTCTCCTCCTCCTTCTCCTTCACTCTCACCCGCCCTGCTGCCTCCGGCTCCGAAGGCTTTGCCTTTGTGGTGGCCTTTGATGCCACCCCGCCCACAACACCGGTGGCAGGCGGCATGGGGTATGCGGGGATGGGAGCGCGCAGCGTGGCAGTGGAGTTTGACACGTCGATGGATGCGGGCAACAGCGACCCTGATAGCAACCACGTGGGCATCAACACCGGCGGTAGTGTCACGTCGGTGGTCACAGCCAAGCCAAGCTTCCCCCTCAATGACGGCAAGCCCAAGCACGTGTGGATCGACTACGACCCTTCCTCTGATGGCTCCCTGCACGTCTTCCTCTCCTCCCAGCCATCTCGGCCCACCAAGCCTCTCCTGACAGCACGCATCTCCCTGTGTGAGGAGCTCGCCCCAACCACAGCGCAGTACACCTTTTCCATCGGCTTCACTGCTGCCTCCGCCATCCAGGCTCAAGGCCATGTCGTCTCCGCCTGGACCCTCTCCACACGTGAGTGCATCCCTGAACACGTCCTGTCACTCTCTTGTTTCCCTGCCTTGCTGTTTGTTGGTCCCATCAGTTAGGAATTAAAGTTGATGAACATTGGCTACAGCCCTAACTCAATTTTTTTGTTTTCTCTCTTCTTGCAGGCTTTCCTATCCAACAAAGTCCAGGTATGATATGATATGGTTGCTTCTTTGTCCAAGCAAACTCGTTGCATTGTGAACCAGTTTTGAATGCTCACCAGTCAAGCTATATTTGTATGACTTTTGAGAATTCTCAAAAGTCATTGTGAACCAGTTTTGAATGCTCACCAGTCAAGGTTCAAAAATACGGTTTTCGTAAAAAACTGTCCGTTTTTTACGATCCGTTTTTTACGGTAATTTTCCAAAAAAACGGCGTTCTTTTGTTAGAGAACTGTTGTCACCAAGGTAAAAAAGGGGAAAACAAGGTCGAATACATTTTTAATCATGCCCACAAGCGCACGCATGCAAGGAGGGGTTCGTCCTCTTCATGCTGGTGATTTTCGCAATCAATTTGGTCCCATAAATGGCCGATTTTTTCTTCAAACGAAACCACCTTGTGGAACCAATTTTTACCGTTTTTTACGGTAAATTTTCAAAGAAACGACGCTTTTTTTAACCTTGTCACCAGTAGTAGTTGTTCCCTCCACAATCCTCCTTGTGTCCTCTCTATACCCTTTCCTCGATCGCAGATGCATCGCTGGGTTTTACCTTCAGCGAGGCGGCGCTCTCTATATCGGGAATGAATCCCTTCTTCCGCTATGCCAGCTCGGGCAGTGTTGCTGCACAGAATGGCAATGACGTGTATGGCGTGCACCCTGCAGCGTCATGGGTTCGCCCTGACTTCACATGGCCTGTCAGGACTCAAACCCTGACTTGCGGTGAGTACCCCTGGATCCCAACTAATGCTCCATGCCATGCCGTACAGTGTTCGCATTCGCTTGGGATGCCTTGTGCCTTATCCGGTTTGTAGTTGGTCCGGCTTGTGTTGAGCCACCTAGGCTCAGCTCAGGTCGAGTGAGAGTTGAGGCCAACTGGGCTGGGCTTGCTGCGAGTCTGTACTTATGCCATTGTTGTTTGTAAGAACGGACGAACAAAGCCCGCTGTGGGTCGGACCAACTCTGATCGAATAGGTTTGAATTAAACCGATTAGGCTCCTTGGCTGGTTCGTGGTTCGGCCTCATGTGGTCGAACAGCTGGCGGTTCGGTGGGTCGAAGCGGTTTGGGTTCTGAAATACCGGATCCTTCACAAACATTTTTTTTTTCCTTTTCTTAATGTCGCGCTCTCGCTCTCGCAATTACATATCAGTGGTGCAAACATGTCAGTCTTGGTAGCTCGGAAGAGAAAGAGGGGTGGGTGGGACTCGCTCACTGGATGACGAGGTTAAGGCAAATGTGATGCATGGTCAAAACTGTCGCAAATATCAACAGTGAAAAGGGCTTGTGCGGCTCAATATTCTCTCAAGACCTCTCCACCTCAGCAAGTTGCTCAAAACCTGAGCAGCAGGGGGCTATTGACACTGCTACCATGCTACATGGCGGTAATACTGTGCCTATGCCTGATGCGCTTCCTCTATACAACCGACTCATGCATTTCCTGGCAGGCGACTGCTGGGCGTATGCAGTGGTGGGCAGTATCGAGGCGGCATACGGCATAATGACCAACACTGCAGCGGTGCAGGCACTCTCAGTGAAGCAGCTGAAGGCCGCCATGAAGGTCGGCTGCTCTGGCAGCACGCCCTCTCAGGCCTTCCAGCTGCTGCTCAAGCTGGCGCAAAAAGGAGGCGGGCTCGTGTTGGAAAGCCAGGGGCCGGCCAAGAAGAAAGGCAAGAAGGCCGTCATGAAGGCAGGCAGCAGCAGTCCTCTTTGCTATCCGTTTCTGAAGCCACTGGGGAAGCTGTTCGGTGTGTCATGTGGCACTGCTAGCCCACGTGTGAGTAGTGAACCTCGTGTTAGCTTAGTACAGCGTGGCCATGAAGCCCCAACGTGAGAGTCACTCAAGAGAAGTTGCTTGTTGTTCGAGCAGTCGATTTCTGTGCTGCTCAAGCTTCTCTCACACTCAGTGCCTAGATACTAGAGCTCTGTGTGACCTGGTCAACCTCCATACCCCATGCATCCAACCTCCTACAAAACTCATACCCCATGCATCCAACCTCCTACAAAACTCATACCCCATGCATCCAACCTCCTCCAGAACTCATCATACCTCATGCATCCAACCTCGTCCATACCTGTTCTTTACTTCCCCAAGCAGCCCCCCACTGCGTTCCCCATCAGCGGCTTCGAGTCAACGTCCTTCTACGGCTGGTTTGGGCTGCTGCTGGCCGTGCAGCGGCAGCCAGTGGTGGTGCACATTGAGGCTTCCGCCGACTCGTTTAAGGATTACAATGGGGTGAGACGGTGTTAATGAATAGGATGGTGCGAGTAGAGGAATTTTATGGCTGCTTTGAACCTATGGGGGGGAGTGTGTGATTGTTGGGTCCTTGTTTGGGTCCTCCCATGAATAATGTGCGGATTCGGATATCGGCTCATTGTGGTGTTTTCATCTCTCCCAGTTTGTGCACAACACCCTGAAACAAGCCGGTGGCGGCTAATCACTTCTTGCCTTGCCAATGTCCATCCTTTCAGCTGTACAAGTACCAGGACCCAGCGTGCTTCACGTACAACCTGAATCACGTGGTGCTGCTGGTGGGGTACTGCCTGGTGGGCAAGGACTCGCGCTTCCCCCACATGGCGCCGCCCTTCTGGATCATCCGCAACTCATGGGGGGCTGAGTGGGGCGACGGGGGCCACATGCGCATGGACATCCAGGGGGGGGATGGCGTGTGCGGCATCAACTCGCTGCCAGGCCTCTACCCTGTGGTCAGAGGTGAGTGAGTGCATGGCCAAGTGTGAGTACACAGTCAAGGGTGAGAGAGAGTAAATGGTCAAAGGAGAGCATAAGATGAAAGATGAGTGCATGGGCAAGAGGGAATGAATACATGGGCGGCTTTTTGTATACCAGTTCAGCTCATAATGCCATTTCAGATTTCATTTCAGGTTTCAAAGCTCTCTTGAGCTAATTTCAGAACCTGGTTGTCTTGCTACTGTGCCCTCCTTGCCGGGCCTACCTCTACCTACAGCCAAAGACCCGTGCAACATAGCGGCCCGCAGTGATGGAAACGGTGGTTCCCTCTTCAATCCATGCGGCAAGTTCACTTGCACGGCGAAGGGCAAGACAAACGAGTGTGACTGCAACAACCCGCGCTTCATCCAAGCAACCAACGCCGATGGCTCTCGCACGTGCGCCTACAGTAAGCCTCTGCTGCTGCCGCCCCCACCGCCGCTGCTGCTGCTGCCGCCTGATCTTGACGTTCTTACAAGTTGAAACCCTCTCAGTGCTTGCCTCCTCTCACCGTTCTCACAGCCACTATGTCTTCTCATTCCTCCCTTTCCCTCTTGCTCTCTCCCTTCCCCTCCCACCCATCATGCCTATCTCCTCCCTCGCTTCCCTCCCTCCCCTGCTCAACCCTCCCCTCCCCTCCCCACCTGTCCCCTCTCTCTACCGTGCCCCTCATCAGAGGATGCATGCAAGGCAGCCCAGCGCAACCCATGTGCGGTGGGGCAGTGTGTGAATGACGGGGCGGGGTCGTTCTCGTGTGTGTGTCCACCGGGCTTCAGGCAGGGCACCACCTCCGAGGGCACTTACTCCTGTGCTCCAGGTACCTTCTCCTGTGCTCCAGGTACCTTCTCCTGTGCTCCAGGTACCTTCTCCTGTGCTCCAGGTACCTTCTCCTGTGCTCCAGGTACCTTCTCCTGTTCTCCAGGTACCTTCTCCTGTGCTCCAGGTACCTTCTCCTGTGCTCCAGGTACCTTCTCCTGTGCTCCAGGTACCTTCTCCTGTGCTCTAGGTACCTTCTCCTGTGCTCCAGGTACCTTCTCCTGTGCTCCAGGTACCTTCTCCTGTGCTCCAGGTACCTTCTTCTGTGCTCCAGGTACCTTCTCCTGTGCTCCAGGTACCTTCTCCTGTGCTCCAGGTACCTTCTCCTGTGCTCCAGGTACCTTCTCCTGTGCTCCAGGTACCTTCTCCTGTGCTCCAGGTACCTTCTCCTGTGCTACAGCTACCTTCTCCTGTGCTCCAGCTACCTTCTCCTCTGCTCCAGCTACCTTCTCATGAGCTCCAGGTACCTTCTCCTGTGCTCCAGGTACCTTCTCCTGTGCTCCAGGTACCTTCTCCTATGCTCCAGGTACCTTCTCCTGTGCTCCAGGTACCTTCTCCTGTGCTCCAGGTACCTTCTGCTGTGCTCCAGGTACCTTCTGCTGTGCTCCAGGTACCTTCTCCTTTGCTCCAGGTACCTTCTCCTGTGCTCCAGGTACCTTCTCCTGTGCTCCAGGTACCTTCTCCTGTGCTCCAGGTACCTTCTCCTGTGCTCCAGGTACCTTCTCTTGTGCTCCAGGTACCTTCTCCTGTGCTCCAGGTACCTTCTCCTGTGCTCCAGGTACCTTCTCCTCTGCTCCAGGTACCTTCTCCTGTGCTCCAGGTACCTTCTCCTGTGCTCCAGGTACCTTCTCCTGTGCTCCAGGTACCTTCTCCTGTGCTCCAGCTACCTTCTCCTGTGCTCCAACTACCTTCTCCTGTGCTCCAGCTACCTTCTCCTTTGCTCCAGCTACCTTCTCCTGTGCTCCAGGTACCTTCTCCTGTGCTCCAGGTACCTTCTCTTGTGCTCCAGGTACCTTCTCTTGTGCTCCAGGTACCTTCTCCTGTGCTCCAGGTACCTTCTCCTGTGCTCCAGGTACTTTCTCCTGTGCTCCAGGTACCTTCTCCTGTGCTCCAGGTACCTTCTCCTGTGCTCCAGGTACCTTCTCCTGTGCTCCAGGTACCTTCTCCTGTGCTCCAGGTACCTTCTCCTGTGCTCCAGGTACCTTCACCTGTGCTCCAGGTACCTTCTCCTGTGCTCCAGGTACCTTCTCCTGTGCTCCAGGTATCTTCTCCTGTGCTCCAGGTACCTTCTCCGGTGCTCCAGGTACCTTCTCGTGTGCTCCAGCTACCTTCTCCTGTGCTCCAGGTACCTTCTCCTGTGCTCCAGCTACCTTCTCCTGTGCTCCAGGTACCTTCTCCTGTGCTCCAGGTACCTTCTCCTGTGCTCCAGGTACCTTCTCCTGTGCTCCAGGTACCTTCTCCTGTGCTCCAGGTACCTTCTCCTGTGCTCCAGGTACCTTCTCCTGTGCTCCAGGTACCTTCTCCTGTGCTCCAGGTACCTTCTCCTAGGGATGAGCAAAATTCCGAACGCCTGTTCGGTTCGCCTCGAACATGTACGAGGCGAACCGAACAGGCATTTTTTTTTGCCTAAATTGTTTGGGCTGAACATGTTCGGTGTTCGGCCGAACATGTTCGACGTTCGCCCCAGAATTTCGGGTCTCCAAGCCGAACACGAACATGTTTGTGTTCGACGTGGTGGCCACGCGAACACCAAAAAGGTTCGCGTCAAAATTGGCCGCGACCAGATTTAGGTCGCGACCAACTTGTGTTTGAGCTCATTTCGTGAGCTCAAACTCAGAACTCGTTTTCGCCTTCTTGTTCTAGGTACAAGCAAGTGCACGCTGATACTTGCAATGTACATGGACATTAGATCTATGCATAGGGTTTAAAGTAGTGTAGGGTGTTTAGGGTTACTATTAAGGTTCAGCTAGCATCTTCGCAAAGGGCTCAAGTAGGGCGTATCCTACGCCGTAGGATTCGGATCGGGCATTTCAGAGACCTAACCGTGCGGGATAACGTTTAGGAACGTGCGGCACCATCCAACGCCACCATTGCAGGAAGGGTGTTAGGGTCGAGGGCGGAGTTATGGCTTCCAGGGCTGGTGGATCCATAGGCCGAGGTGCAGGTAGGGCTCAGGGCAGCGCACCGGGTTCTCCACCACGACCTATGCAGGGGCGAGTAGGGGATGGACCGGGAGGAGCCGGCGCGATCTTCGTTGGGGGGTTGCTTACTGTACCGGCGCCGACCTCTCGTCGCTCTTTCCGTTACGACGGCCCTCGACCCCCTCCTTCGGGGCAGACGCAGACGCAGCCGAAGAGCGGCAGTGAGGAGGAGGATGAGGAGGAGGATGGTGAGGGCGAGAAGGAGGAGGACACTGAGGGGAGCGGGGATGACAGCGAGGCGGCGTGGGACCCAGAGACGCATGGCGGTGGGGAGGGTGGAGATGATGATGATGAAGACCACGAGATGGATCGGTTGGAGCCAGAGGGGCGGGAGGAGGAGGTGGGAGAGGGTGGTGGAAGGGCGGCGACAGAGGCGGGATCACAGCATGTGCGTGAAGGGGGAGGGAGCGTGGGGGTTAAGGTGGGGGGGAGAAAGACCGTGACCATTAGGGAGCCGAGGCAGAGGAAGAAGGCCAACAAGTTGAGGGAGCGGGCGTATCCCTGCACGTTCACTGGGGAGCCCTTAGGCGAGGGTGTGATCGCTCCCGAGTTCCTAGACGAGGACGGAGGGTCCGAGAGTAGTAAGGGGACTGGCAAGGGTAATAGGAAGCCGGGGTAGCAAGTAGGGATGAGCAAGGTGGCACGTTCGAGGCGAACCGAACAGGTTTTGTTTTTTAGCTCAAATCGTTCGCCGAACAGTGTTCGATGTTCGCCCGAACACGTTCGTGTTCAGGCCGCTGCTGAAATTTGCCCGCGACGAACACGAACAGTGTTCAAGGTTCGCCCGAACACGCCTCCACAGGCGAACAGCGAACACCTGTTTTTTCCTAAACTGTTCGCCGAACCGAACAGTGTTCGGTTCGGCAAAAGAGGGTGTTCGACAAGGGGCGAAGACAAACATGTTCGTGTTCGCCCTTTGCTCATCCCTAGTGGCAAGTAATGATGATCGGACCGTTAGGGGCAGACGATAAGCGTCAGTGCAAGATTTGCTCAGACAGGATTTCGTGGAAGCAATCCACAACAACCCCCGGCGAGCGGCACTTTGCGAGCTTCCACACTGCGCACATGCATGTGTGGCATCACCGTTACCATACCCCGTCCGTTCACTTGCCAGGAGAGACGTTTCCCCGTGGGGGCTACAAAGGAGTGCTGGATGGCTACGTCTATCAGTGGCCACATGCCAAGACTTGGCCGCAGCTCGCCAAGGGAAAAGGGATGCCGACTGGTGGAGGTCATGGGTCAGGCGGGATGGAGCGGTGGATGACAACCAAACTGACCTCGGTGCAACTACGGCAGGCGATCACGAAGCTGGTGGTCACCTGCGACCTCCCCTTCCGCATCGTCGAGGCCGAGGATGTAAGTGCCCCATCCCATCCCATGCATGATTGGGCAAGTATGTGGTTAGTGGACGGGTCTGTCCCTTTGTGTTTTGACTGTTTGCGTGTGGCCCAGTGCTATATTATTTTCATCCCATCCCCCTGACGTTTACTCCCCTCTCCCCCCTTGTCTCTACCCCTCTCCAGTTTCGTGAGCTACTCATCCTGCTAAACCGCAACTGCGCGCAGAAGAACTTCATCCCCTCGCGCTGGACGGTTTCCCGCGACACAGTGGTCTATGCGGCTGCCGCTCTTCAGTCAGCCATTGCGGAGATGCTGGCGAAGGAGGGGGAGCTGGGGTGCAGGGTATCGTTCACCATCGACATGTGGTCGGCGCCCAACAACAGGGCGTGGCTAGTGGTAACGGGTCACTGGATCGACGAAAATTACCAGCTGTGCACAATGGTGTTTGAATTCCGCGAGATTCACGGGCGTCACACGGGCAAGCAGATGGCGAGGGTGGTTGAAGAGACGGTGGTGCAGTGGGGGTTGGAGACGCGTTGTCTTGGGTTCACCTCAGACAACGCCTCCAGCAACACTACTGCTTTCAGGTGGATGTCGGAGGAGGGTGGTGGCCAGTGCTTCTTCAACTCGCGCATGCACTTCCGGTACGAAAGGGAGTGTGCGTGGGATGTGCGTTGAGGGAGTCTGGGTGCGTCGTTCCTGTGAACATTTTGTGGTTGTAGTATGGGCGGGTGGGCCTATGCGGCTTGAGAGTGGTAGTGTTTCTCGGGTCTATGCCAATGTGTACTCACACTTCCCTTTCTCTCCGCCATTAATGTTTTGTGATGTGTGCAGATGCCTGGCACACGTGATCAACCTTGCAGTGAAGGCAGCTCTCGCTGTGACCGCCATTCGCAAGTTGCTGAAGATTCTGAGAGAGATGGCGTCGTGGATAGGCTTCTCGCCGCAGCGCTCAGGGAAGTTCTTGGGCCTTCAGCGGACTCTGAACGCGCAGGGCAACCCCGCCAAACCGAAGCCGGCATTGAAGCTGGTGCAGGACAGTCCCACACGCTGGGGGCCGACCCACGACATGGTCGAGCAAGCTGGGGTTCTGCAGGGACCCATCTCTGTCTTCTTTGCCCAGACACAGGTGTGTGTGTGTGCCAGGTGTTGTGTATGCGGTTTTATGTGTTGGTATGTCGGGGTGTTTTGTTCTGGGACTTGCACCACTGTTGGCCATGCTTGACTAAACTTATCGGACCTCCAACAACCTCAACCACCCCTCTTTCCACCCTAACACCCGCCCACCCATACGTTCTACCCGACAGGGCATGTCGAAGGCTGACAAGGCGAAGCTGGACACCTTGCGCCTGACAGACGCAGACTGGGAGACTCTGCATTCTGTCAAGACCTTCTTCAGCCCATTCGCCAAAGTCTCAAAGGCCGCGGAGGGAGCGGCGTACCCTACAGTGGCGATGGTCCTGCCGTACTACAACGGCCTGATCGACGCTATGGAGTCGCGCCTTGCCAAGGGGCCATCGGCTACGCTGAAGCCGATGATTGAGGCGGCGCTGGGTCTCTTGAAGAAGTATGAACTGATGTCAAGCAACGAGTTGTGGATCGCGACCTTCCTGGACCCTTCCATGAAGGCGGCGTGGTTCGACGACGCGCACTGGGAGACGCTGCATCCCGATACCGACCGGAGGGCGAGGCCTCGTCCCTCGTCAGGCGAGGTGATCCAGCTGGTTCGCGAACGCGTGGCCGAGTACCAAGTCCGGGCTGCAGCGATTGCCCCTCGGCCGACCCCACTTGCCCCAGTGACGGAGGAGGAGGGAGACGCGGCGGATGACGACGAAGACGCCGAGTTTCTCCCTTGTCGCCGACGCTTTGTGGCGCGTCTGTCGGCGAGCCAGGAGGCGGGGAGGGGTGGGATGGTGCAGGATGACGAGGTAGGTAGGTACTTATCTGAGAGGGTGCGGTGCGACGTGTCAGCGTTGGAGTACTGGCGCAGCGCCACCAACATGTAGACGCTAAGGCGCATGGCCCGGGATTATCTTGCCATCCCTGCCACGTCCGCGTCGAGCGAGCGCGTGTTCTCCCTCGGCCGCAACCTCATTTCCTGGAAGCGGCACCGCCTAGCCTCTCAGAGGACGCGAGCTTCCATGATTCTCAGATCATGGTACAGCTCACACCCTGGACAGAGGATAGGCGAGGGCCGCCGTGCAAAAGGCGAGGCACCACCAGAGTTCGCCATTGAAGGCGAGGGGGAGGATGAGGACGACGAGTGGGAGGAGGAGGAGGGGGAGGAGGAGCATGAGGGGGTGGGTCCTGGCGACACCTCTGACGCGGAGCATGCTGTTGTTGGTAGTAGCAGTGGTGTGCAAGCTTAGGATTTAATTTGACAGTGACTTTTATATAGGCAAAACATGACGGTGTCGTATGCTAGTGTGCGTTGCATGAACACATATACACCCTCCACCCCCCTATCTATCTTCCCAACCCTCCAGATTCCCTGTTTGACCAATGTGACTAAAACGAAATTACCCACGGGCGAACTCGAACATGTTCGAACCGAACATGTTCGAGTTCGCCCACATATACCAAATGTTCGCCCCCATGGGCGAACGGCGAACGGCGAACACCTCCTGCTTGCCAAATTGTTCGCCGAACCGAACCTTGTTCGAGTTCGCCCTTTGCTCATCCCTACCTTCTCCTGTGCTCCAGGTACCTTCTCCTGTGCTCCAGGTACCTTCTCCTGTGCTCCAGGTACCTTCTCCTGTGCTCCAGGTACCTTCTCCTTGTTGGAAAGCTAGAATTGATACATTGAATAATGAGCCAACAGGCTCTTTAGTACAAACAATGAGCAAGAGAGAGATGAGAGAGAAGCTTACCTTATTGGCCAATAAGTTGGCCAATGGGTGAGCTTGCTTGTGACCCTAGCAACCACAAATGTGTGTTGGTTGGGATTGGTTGAGCTAAGGACCAATCCCAACCAACCACAAAATGTGGTTGGAGGTAGGGATGAGCAAAATGCCGAACGCCTGTTCGGTTCGCCTCGAACATGTTCGAGGCGAACCGAACAGGCCTTTTATTTTTGCCAATTCGTTCGGGCCGAACATGTTCGAGGTTCGGCCGAACATGTTCGGCGTTCGACTTTGGAGTTGGCCTCTCCAAGCCGAACACGAACATGTTCGTGTTCGGCTTGGCTTCGACGCGAACACCAAAAGTGTTCGCGTCAAAATTGGCCGCGACCAGATTTAGGTCGCGGCCAATTTGAGTTTGAGCTCATTTCGTGAGCTCAAACTCAGAAGTTGTTTAGCCGCTTTAGTGCTCCCTCACACAGCCCCCCTAGCCTCCTTCTTCTAAGTGCAAGCAAGTGCACGTTAATAATTGGAGTGTAAACGAACTCACATTAGATTAGATAGAAGAACTAAGCATAGGGTTTAACGTTGTGTAGGGAGTTTATTTTTACTAGGGAGGGAAAGCGAGCATCTCCCGGGAAGGGCTCAAGTAGGGCGTACCATTCGCTCTAGGATTCGGATCGGGCATTAGGGACGTGCGGTGCGGCACCATCCAACGCTCACGTTGCCTTAGGGGGTTTTAGGGTTTAGGGTCGAGGGCGGAGTGATGGCGTCCAGGGGTGGTGGATCCATAGGCCGAGGTGCAGGCAGGGCTCAGGGCAGCGCACCGGGATCTCCACCACGACCTATGCAGGGGCGAGTAGGGGATGGACCGGGTGGAGCCGGCGCGATCTTCGTTGGGGGGTTGCTTACCGTACCGGCGCCGACCTCTCGTCGCTCTTTCCGTTACGACGGCCCTCGGCCCCCTCCTTCGGGGCAGACGCCGACACAGCCGGAGAGCGGCAGTGAGGAGGAGGATGAGGAGGAGGATGGTGAGGGCGAGAAGGAGGAGAACACTGAGGGGAGCGGGGATGACAGCGAGGCGGCGTGGGACCCAGAGACGCATGGCGGTGGGGAGGGGGGAGATGATGATGATGAAGACCACGAGATGGATGGGTTGGAGCCAGAGGGGCGGGAGGAGGAGGTGAGAGAGGGTGGTGGAAGGGCGGCGACAGAGGCGGGATCACAGCATGTGCGTGAAGGGGGGGGGAGCGTGGGGGTTAAGGTGGGAGGGGGAAAGGCCGTGACCATTAGGGAGCCGAAGCAGAGGAAGAAAGCGAACAAGTTGAGAGAGCGGGCGTATCCCTGCACGTTCACTGGGGAGCCCTTGGGCGAGGGTGTGATTCCACCCGAGTTCCTAGACGAGGACGGAGGGTCCAAGAGTAGTAAGGGGACTAGCAAGGGTAATAGGAGGCCGGGGTGGCAAGTTATGATGTTCGGACCGTTAGGGGCAGACGAAAAGCGTCAGTGCAAGATTTGCACAGATAGGATTTCGTGGAAGCAATCCACAACAACCCCGGGCGAGCGGCACTTTGCGAGCTTCCACACTGCGCACATGCATGTGTGGCATCACTGTTACCACACCCCGTCGGTTCACTTGCCTGGGGAGACGTTTCCCCGAGGGGGCTACAAGGGAGTGCCGGATGGCTACGTCTATCAGTGGCCACATGCCAAGACTTGGCCGCAGCTCGCCAAGGGGAAAGCGATGGCAACTGGTGGAGGTGATGGGTCAGGAGGGATCGAGCGGTGGATGACAGCAAAACTGACCTCGGTGCAGCTACGGCAGGCAATCACGAAGCTGGTGGTCACCTGCGACCTCCCCTTCCGCATCGTCGAGGCCGAGGCTGTAAGTGCCCCATCCCATCCCATGCTTGATTTCGCAAGTATGCGGTTAGTGGACGTGTCTGTCACTTTGTGTTTTGACTGTTTGCGTGTGGCCCAGTACAGTGCTATATTACCTTTATCGCATCCCCCTGACGTGTACTACCCTCTCCCCCCTTGTCTCTTCCCCTCTCCAGTTTCGTAAGCTACTCATCCTGTTGAACCGCAACTGCGCGCAAAAAAACTTCATCCCCTCGCGCTGGACGGTTTCCCGCGACACAGTGGTCTATTCGGCTGCTGCTCTTCAGTCAGCCATCGCGGAGATGCTGGCGAAGGAGGGGGAGCTGGGGTGCAGGGTGTCGTTCACCATCGACATGTGGACGTCACCCAACAACAGGACGTGGCTGGTGGTAACGGGTCACTGGATCGACGAGGGTTACCAGCTGCGCACAATGGTGTTTGAATTCCGGGAAATTCACGGGCGGCACACGGGCAAGCAGATGGCGAGGGTGGTTGAGGACACGGTGGTGCAGTGGGGGTTGGAGACGCGTTGTCTTGGGTTCACCTCAGACAACGCCTCTAGCAACACTGCCGCTTTCAGGTGGATGTCGGAGGAGGGTGGTGGCCAGTGCTTCTTCAACTCGCGCATGCACTTCCGGTACGAAAGGGAGTGTTCCTGTGATGTGAACATGTTGTGGTTGTAGTACAGGCGGGTGGGCCAATGTGTTGTGTACTCACACTTCCCTTTCTCTCCGCCATGAATGTTTTGTGACGTGCGCAGATGCCTGGCACACGTGATCAACCTTGCGGTGAAGGCGGCACTCGCTGTGACCGCCATCCGCAAGTTGCTGAAGATTCTGAGAGAGATGGCGTCGTGGATAGGATACTCGCCGCAGCGCTCGGGGAAGTTCTTGGGCCTTCAGCGGACTCTGAACGCGCAGGGCAACCCCGCCAAACCGAAGCCAGCGTTGAAGCTGGTGCAGGACAGTCCCACACGCTGGGGGTCGACACACGACATGGTCGAGCGAGCCGGGGTTCTGCAGGAACCCATCTCTGTCTACTTTGCCCAGACACAGGTGTGTGTGTGCGCCAGGTGTTGTGTATGCTGTTTTATGTGTTGGTATGTCGGTCGGCGTGTATTCTTCCGGCCCTTGCAGCACTGTTGGCCATGCTTGACTCAACTTTCCGGACCTCCAACAACCTCAACCACCCCACTTTCCATTCTATCCGTCGCCCACCCATACGTTCTACCCGACAGGGCGTGTCGAAGGCTGACAAGGCGAAGATGGACACCTTGCGCCTGACGGACGCAGACTGGGACACTCTGCATTCTGTCAAGACCTTCCTCAGCCCATTCGCCAAAGTCTCCAAGGCCGCTGAGGGAGCGGCGTACCCTACAGTGTCGATGGTCCTGCCGTTCTACAACGGCTTGATCGACGCTATGGAGTCGCGCCTGGCCAAGGGGCCATCGGCTACGCTGAAGCCGATGATTGAGGCGGCGCTGGGTCTCTTGAAGAAGTATGAGTTGATGTCAAGCAACGAGCTGTGGATCGCCACCTTCCTGGACCCTTCCATGAAGACGGCGTGGTTCGACGACGCGCACTGGGAGACGCTGCATCCCGACACAGAGCGGAGGGCGAGGCCTCGTCCCTCGTCAGGCGAGGTGATCCAGCTGGTTCGCGAACGCGTGGCCGAGTACCAGGCCCGGGCTGCAGCGATTGCCCCTCAGTCGACCCCACTTGCCCCAGTGACGGAGGAGGAGGGAGAGGAGGCGGATGACGACGAGGACGCCGAGTTTCTCCCTAGTCGCCGACGCCTTGCGGCGCGTCTGTCGGCGAGCCAGGAGGCGGGGAGGGGTGGGATGGTGCAGGATGACGAGGTTGGCAGGTACTTGTCAGAGAGGGTGCGGTGCGACGTGTCAGCGTTGGAGTATTGGCGCAGCGCCACCAACATGCAGACGCTGAGGCGCATGGCCCGGGATTATCTTGCCATCCCTGCCACGTCCGCGTCGAGCGAACGCGTCTTCTCCCTCGGCCGCAACCTCATATCCTGGAAGCGGCACCGCCTAGCCTCTCAGAGGACGCGAGCTTCCATGATTCTCAGATCATGGTACACCTCACACCCTGGACAGAGGATAGGCGAGGGCCGCCGTGCCAAGGGCGAGGCACCACCAGAGTTCGCCATTGAAGGCGAGGGGGAAGAGGAGGACGACGAGTGGGAGGAGGAGGAGGGGGAGGAGGAGCAGGTGGGGGTGGGTGCTGGCGACACCTCAGACGCGGAGCATGCTGTTGTTGGTAGTAGCAGTGGTGTGCATGCGTAGGATGTAATTTAGCAGTGACTTGACTTTTATATAAGCACTACATGATGGTGTCGTATGCTAGTGTGCGTTGCATGATTATATACACACCCTCCACCCCCCTATCTATCTTCCCAACCCTCCAGGTTCCGTGTTAAGCTGTTGTGACTATAATGAAAGTGGCCCTGGGCGAACTCGAACATGTTCGGGTCGAACATGTTCGAGTTCGCCCACACATAACAAATGTTCGCCCCCAAGGGCGAACGGCGAACATGTCCTTAAGCCTAAGCTGTTCGCCGAACCGAACTGTGTTCGGTTCGGCGAAAGTTGTTGTTCGGGCGAATTCGAACCCAAACGTGTTCGAGTTCGCTATTTGCTCATCCCTAGTTGGAGGCGGGAGGCTAGAATGTGCTACACTTCTAGCCTATGTTGTATGAAATATGAAATTTCAACACAACCCCCCAACATGCATAAGGCTAGAAGGCTAGAATCAAGAGGCGGGAGGCGACTTAGGAGGAGTGAGGCCAAGAAGACGAAGTAGAAAAGAGTGAGCGGCATGAGGAAGAGCTTTTGTGAAGATGTCGGCAAGGTTGGCCGCCGAGTCAACCTTGTCTAGGCGAAGGTGCCCCGCCTGAACAAGATCGCGAATGAAGAAATGACGGAGCTCAATGTGCTTGGAGCGCTCGTGAAACACAACATCTTTGGTGAGGTGAATGGTACTAGCATTGTCACACCAAATTGTGGGACAGCGGTGGGGGGCACCAAGTTCCTCAAGAAGGAAGGTGAGCCAGCGGGCCTCTTGTGCAGCCATGGTGGCGGCATACAATTCCGCCTCGCAGGAGGAGAGGGCTGCAGCCGAGGAGCGGGTGGAGCGCCAGCTGATAAGGCCGCTGCCAAGAGAGAAGCCATAGCCCTAGGAGGAGCGACGATCTGGCCGGGAATCAGCCCAATAGGAGTCACTGTAGCCGCTGAGAAGAGGTGGGGAGGGACCGCCAAGGGTAAGGACATAGTCCTTGGTGCCACGAAGGTACCGGAGGACACGCTTGGCGGCCTGCCAGTGCTCTTCCGTATGCTTGCCTGCGCCAACAAAACGAGCGAGGACGCTGATGGGGTAGGCAAGGTCAGGGCGAGTGGAGACCATGGCGTACATGAGGGAGCCGATGAGCTCGGGATAAGGATGGGAGGAGGCAGAGGGGGAGGTGGGTGGAGAGAGGTGGTGCCGGACAGAAAGAGGAGTAGGTTGGGTGCCACCGCAGACCATGTCAAACTGCTTCAAGACCTGCTGCAAGTAATGACCCTGGGAGAGAGAGATGGTGCGGGCGGAGCGGTCACGGGTGATGGTCATGCCCAGGTAATGCTGCAGCTCGCCCAAGTCCTTGCATTTGAGATGGCTGCCCAACTCAGCCTTAACCCGCTCCAATTCGCCAAGGTCGGCAGTGAGCAGAATCATGTCATCGACATACACAAGGATGTAGAACGGGGAGGGGCAGGTGCAGAGGAAGAGGCTGGCGTCAGAACGGGAGGTGCTGAACCCAAGTTCAGCAAGGGTGGCGGCAAGCTTAGCATGCCACTCCCTCGGGGCCTGTCGAAGCCCATACACAGGGCGACGCAGCTGCCAGACAGAGTCTGCAGGGAAAGGAAGGTGAAAACTGGCTGGACGCTCCATGTAGATAAGCTCGCGGAGGACGCCTTGGAGGAAAGCGTTATAGACGTCCATTGAGTGGATCTCCATATTGAGGCGAGCGACGAGGTCGAGCACGGCGCGAACAGTAGCAGGCTTGGCAGTGGGATAGAAGGTATCGAAGAAGTCAAAACCATACCGCTGCATGAACCCCTTGGCACAGTAACGAGCCTTATAGACGGGCGGCTCCCCTGGCAGCTGTTTGACGCGAAACACCCACTTCCCTTTCACCACGTTCGTAGAGGAGGGAGGGCGAGGCACATCAACGAAGGAGGAGTTGGCGACAAAGGCCTCCAGCTCCTTGATAATGGCGGCGAGCCAGAGTGGGGCGTCGGGGCAAGCCATGGCCTCCTCATACGTGGTAGGGATGAAAACGGAGGGAGCAGAGGAGAATGTGAATACTGGTGTCCTAGAAAGGTCGAAGGTGATGGGTAGAAGGGAAGGGTCACAGAGGTGGAGGTCAAGGAACTCCTCATGCGAGTCCTCGGAGAGGGAGGTGTGGAAGGAGCGGATGACCGTTGGTGCCGCTGGTGCCGCTGCACGTGCCGCTGCTGGTGCCGCTGCTGGTGCCGCTGCTGGTGCCGCTGCTGGTGCCGCTGCTGGTGCTGCTGCTGGTGCCGCTGCTGGTGCCGCTGCTGGTGCCGCTGCTAGTGCCGCTGCTGGTGCCGCTGCTGGTGCCGCTGCTAGTGCCGCTGCTGGTCCCGCTGCTGGTGCCACTGCTGGTCCCGCTGCTGGTCCCGCTGCTGGTGCCGCTGCTGGTCCTGCTGCAGGTGCCGCTGCTGGTCCTGCTGCTGGTGCCGCTGCGGGTGCCGTTGCGGACGCTGCTGCTGGCGCCGCTGCTGGAGAGGTGGCAGAGGGGGCTGCTGCAGGAGGAGGTTGATGCAGAACAGCCTGGAAGAAGTGGTGAAGGAGAGGGGAGAGTGGGGGGAGGGTAGAGGTAGAGAGGGTAACAGGGGGCGGTGCACCAAGGATACTGTCACGTGACCTGGTATGGGGGTACCGGGTTAGTACGGTGCGGGGAGGGGGGGAAGGACGAGTCGGCGGCCAGGGAGGTGAAGGAGGGGCGGGAGGGGCACTAGGAGAGGAATGTGTGGGGGAGATGGGAGAGGACAGAGGTTCCGGGTCAAATATATCACCAGACGAGGGAGGGGCACCGTGGGATGGGGACGACGGTGGGGGGGGGGGGAGGGAGGATGGGGGGAGGAGGAAGTAGTGGGGGAGGGGTGGTGTCAGACCAGACAAGGGGACGGGGAAGACGGGGGAGTGGGTCAGTGGATGGGGGAGAGGAGTAGTAGGGAGTGGACTCATCAAAGACCACATCCCTACTGCGGAATAGACGACCTGAGGGGGGATGGAGGAAAAGGTAGTCAGGTGAGGAGCAGTTATGACCGAGAAAGATGCAGGGAAGGGTACGAGGGGCAAGCTTTCCCATAGATCGGGAGCGGTCAGTGGGGTGAAGGAGAACATAAGCCTTTGAGCCCCAGACACGAAGAGACGAGACATCAGGTTTGTTGTTCGTCCACAGCTCTGTGGGGGTGGTGGATGGGAGAAGAGGGTGAGGGTAAAGGTTAGTAAGGAGGGCAGCATGAAGGAGGGCGTAGCCCCACAGAGAAGGAGGGCAGGAGGCGTGGACAAGAAGACACCGGGCAGTTTCGGTGATCTCTCGAACACGACTTTCAGCCACACCGTTCTGCTGTGGGGAGTGAGGGAGGGTGTAAGTCTGAAGAATGCCATGAGACTGACAATAGGAGGATATTTGGTTGTTAAGGAACTCACCACCACCATCAGAGTGAAGGCGGCGAACAGGGCGCCCAAAATGGGTATTTGCCCGCTCGAGCCAGGCGATGATCGCAGCCGGGGCATCTGCCTTCGTCCAAAGGAGAGAGACGGACGAGTACCGACTGTGATCATCGGCGAGTACGAGGAGGTATCGATGGCCCTGGCGAGTGGGAGAGGGATTGGGGCCCCAGAGGTCCATGTGAACAAGATCAAGTGGCTGCGCAGCAGCGGAGGGGGAGCTCCGGTGCGGCTGCTGCTTGAGCTTGCTTTGAACGCAGACGGTGCAGGGGGGGGCAGGGGATTTGGGGAGGGGAGGGAGGGAGGAGGGGAGACCGTGGAGGAGACCGGTGGAAACAGAGGAGCGTAGAGTAGCGAAGTTAGGGTGACCTAGCTTGTGATGGAGGAGGACGGCAGGGTGGGAGAGGGAGCGACAGGAGCAAGAGGAGTCAAGGGGGGGGGCGGGAAGGGAGGTCCGGGTTAGTGGGAGGGAGAGGAGGAGGTGGGATGAGAGGGTGGAGGGGGGGGCGAGAGATGACCTGACAGGAGGGGAGGCAAGGAACCCGAAGGGTGTACAGACGGGAGCGAGGGCAAAAGGGAATGCGAGAAAGGAACTGACCGGTGGCGGAATGGTAGAGAGCGCAATAGTTAGCATGAGCTGGGAATACTGTGGTGATACCGGCTTACTGAAGGGACCTTTGCGAAAGGAGATTAGCGCGAAGAGAGGGTATGTGGAGACCGGTGACAGTGCCTGAGGGGAAGAGTGGGCAGGGGAGAGTCGAGGTGTTATGGCAGGGGATAGAGAAGCTGCTGTCGGCACCAAGGAGGGAGGTAGGCGTTGGGAGGGGGCGCAAGGTGCCAGCATCGCGAAGAACTGTGTCAGTGGCGCCGCTGTCGAGGACAAAATCGACAGTGGAGGAGAGGGAGGAGGAAGGGACAGAGGACTGGAACGCAGTTTCGTTAGTGCTAGAGGAGTATGTGGCAGGTGCAGTTGATGTGGCTTGATTATCCATACCAGCGATACCAACGGATGAGAAAGGTGGGACGATGCTTGAAGTGGCGGAGCTTGTGGAACAATGCGGAACTGAGTTCTGCTGGGAAGTTGGGGGAGGAGGAGGAAGAGGCAGCTGCGGTTGCTGCTGCTGCTGCTGCTGCTGCTGTTGCTGCGGAGGAGGAGGAGGAGGAGGAGGAGGAGGAGGAGGAGGAGGAGGAGGAGGAGGAGGAGGAGGAGGAGGAGGAGGAGGAGGAGGCTGAGGTAGAGAGAAGGGTTGACTCGGGGCATGGTGGGCTTGGGTGGAGAGTTTACACTGAAGTCCTCGAGTCGGGCCATAGCGAGGCACATATTCACGAGGAGAGAAGGCTGCTGCTGCGCCGCAGCCTGCGCTCAAACCCCTGACACCACAATATCCTGCGAGTCTCCCTTGACCACCACCACAGCTGCCACTATGCCCGCCTCCATGCCCACCGGCACCACTGCTGATGCATGCCAGCGCGACTGTTGCCATGGGGGAAGCAATGTGGGGTGTGGGTGGTCACGGCATGGCGCAGGCGAGCAGGGCATGAAGGTGTGCGCAGGCAGCTGACGGTATGCGTAGGCGGGTGTGCTGTATGTGCTCCCAGGTGTGCGGTATGTGCTGTCAGGTGTGCGGTATTGCTCTCAGGTGTGCGGTATGTGCTGTCAGGTGTGCGGTATGTGCTGTCAGGTGTGCGGTATGTGCTGTCAGATGTGCTGTATGCGCGTGCAGATGTGTTGTATGCCAGGGAGGTGGGCAGGGGGCGGACGAGGGGAGGGGGACAGCGAGCGGGGAAGGAGGGCGTGCAACGAGTGCGCGGACGGGGAGAGTGTGGACGACCGGAGCGCGGACGAGCAGGGCGTGCAGACGAACAGGGCGCGCAGACGGCCAGGGTGCGGATGACTGGGGCGCGCGGACGGGCAGGGCGCGGACGCGAAGGGCGGATGAGCAGGGCGTGCGGACGGGCAGGGCGCGGACGAGCAGGGCGTACGGACGGGCAGGGCGGGGACGCGAAGGGCGGACAAGCAGAGCGCGGACAACTAGGTGATAGAATTCAAGAGTAGTTGAATGATGAGCCATTGAGGCTCTATAGTACAAGCATGCAAGCAAGAGAGGGGTGAAGAAGGAGCAAACCCTATTGGCCACTAAGTTGGCCAATGGGGGAGATGCCTTGTGGGGTAGGGAACCCCACAATGTTGCTAGGTTGTGATTGGTAGGCCTTAGGACCAAAAGTTGGCAAGTGCCAACCAAGGACCAAGACCAAACCCAACCTTGACCAACCACAAAATGTGGTTGGAGTGTACACCCAACCCCCCAAGAACATAAAGAGCTACACCATTCTAGCCTATGTATGTTGTGTATAAGATACAGTTACAACACTAGGGCGCGCGGTCGGACTAGCAAGGGCGTGCGAGTTGCAGATCTGAGCACGCAGAATGCAGATTTGGGCGCGGGAGAGTAGATCTGAGTGCGGAATGTGCAGATCTGAGCGCGAAATGCGCAGATCTGAGGGCAGGAGGAGTAGAGCAGGGCGCGGGAGGAGTAGATCTGAGCTCGGGAGGAGGAGGTGTGAGCTCAGGAGGAGTAGATCTGAGCTCGGGAGTGTGAAGATTGTGAATTGAACAAGTAGTAGAATTAGAGTCACAACCTAGCATACATAGTTTGGAAGAGAAGGTTGGAAGGGAAGAATGGAAAGGAAGGATCAAAGTGACCATAGGTTGGGTTGACCTCACTTGGGGGAGTGAGGGAACCATTGGTCAAGTGGGTTGGGTTGCCCATACTTTGTAGAAGTGAGGCAACCCTAGGCCCACTTGGCTTGGGGAAACCTCAATTGTGGGAAGTGAGGTACCCACAAGTCAAGAGGGTTGTATTTGGGGGCTCCACCACAATTGGGTGGATTGGCACCCCAAAATGCAAGACTACACCCAAAGTTGGGTGTAGTCCCAACCCAACTGTACACCACAATTGGCGTACAGCCACATGTGTTGGCATGCTACACAATGTATTTTAACAGGGAGGAGTAGATCTGAGCTCAGGAGGAGTAGATCTGAGCTGGGGAGGAGTAGATCTGAGCTCGGGAGGAGTAATTCTGAGCTTGGGAGGAGGAGATGGGAGCTCGGGAGGAGTAGATCTGAGCTCGGGAGGAGTAGATCTGAGCTCGGGAGGAGTAGATCTGAGCTGTTGAGGAGTAGATCTGAGCTCGGGAGGAGTAGATCTGAGCTGGGGAGGAGTAGATCTGAGCTCGGGAGGAGTAGATCTGAGCTGGGGAGGAGTAGATCTGAGCTCGGGAGGAGTAGATCTGAGCTGGGGAGGAGTAGATCTGAGCTCGGGAGGAGGAGATGTGAGCTCGGGAGGAGTAGATCTGAGCTCGGGAGGAGTAGATCTGAGCTGTTGAGGAGTAGATCTGAGCTCGGGAGGAGGAGGTGTGAGCTCGGGAGGAGTAGATCTGAGCTCGGGAGGAGTAGATCTGAGCTCGGGAGGAGGAGATGTGAGCTCGGGAGGAGTAGATCTGAGCTCGGGAGGAGTAGATCTGAGCTGTTGAGGAGTATATCTGAGCTCGGGAGGAGTAGATCTGAGCTCGGGAGGAGTAGATCTGAGCTGGGGAGGAGTAGATCTGAGCTCGGGAGGAGTAGATCTGAGCTGGGGAGGAGTAGATCTGAGCTCGGGAGGAGTAGATCTGAGCTGGGGAGGAGTAGATCTGAGCTCCGGAGGAGTAGATCTGAGCTGGGGAGGAGTAGATCTGAGCTCGGGAGGAGGAGATGTGAGCTCGGGAGGAGTAGATCTGAGCTCGGGAGGAGTAGATCTGAGCTGTTGAGGAGTAGATCTGAGCTCGGGAGGAGGAGGTGTGAGCTCGGGAGGAGTAGATCTGAGCTCGGGAGGAGTAGATCTGAGCTCGGGAGGAGGAGATGTGAGCTCGGGAGGAGTAGATCTGAGCTCGGGAGGAGTAGATCTGAGCTGTTGAGGAGTATATCTGAGCTCGGGAGGAGTAGATCTGAGCTCGGGAGGAGTAGATCTGAGCTGGGGAGGAGTAGATCTGAGCTCGGGAGGAGTAAATCTGAGCTCGGGAGGAGTAGATCTGAGCTCGGGAGGAGTAGATCTGAGCTGGGGAGGAGTAGATCGGAGCTCGGGAGGAGGAGATGTGAGCTCGGGAGGAGTGAATCTGAGCTTGGGAGCACCTTAGTAGGACTACGTCTGACGGACGGGGAGGAGAGGGTGGCCTAAGGACCGAGGGATCAAGGCGTGAGCCAATAGCTCATGATACCATGTTGAAAAGCTAGAATTGATACATTGAATAATGAGCCAAGAGGCTCTTTAGTACAAACAAAGAGCAAGAGAGAGATGAGAGGGAAGCTTACCCTATTGGCCAATAACTTGGCCAATGGGTGAGCTTGCTTGTGACCCAAGCAACCACAAATGTGTGTTGGTTGGGATTGGTTGAGCTAAGGACCAATCCCAACCAACCACAAAATGTGCTCCAGGTACCTTCTCCTGTGCTCCAGCTACCTTCTCCTGTGCTCCAGGTACCTTCTCCTGTGCACCAGATGCCTTCTCCTGTGCTCCAAGTACCTTCTCCTGTGCTCCAGGTACCTTCTCCTGTGCTCCAGGTACCTTCTCCTGTGCTCCAGGTACCTTCTCCTGTGCTCCAGGTACCTTCTCCTGTGCTCCAGGTACCTTCTCCTGTGCTCCAGGTACCTTCTCCTGTGCTCCAGGTACCTTCTCCTATGCTCCAGGTACCTTCTTCTGTGCTCCAGGTACCTTCTCCTGTGCTCCAGCTACCTTCTCCTGTGTTCCAGGTACCTTCTCCTGTGCTCCAGCTACCTTCTCCTGTGCTCCAGGTACCTTCTCCTGTGCTCCAGGTACCTTCTCCTATGCTCCAGGTACCTTCTCCTGTGCTCCAGCTACCTTCTCCTGTGCTCCAGGTACCTTCTCCTGTGCTCCAGGTACCTTCTCCTGTGCTCCAGCTACTTTCTCCTGTGCTCCAGCTACCTTCTCCTGTGCTCCAGCTACCTTCTCCTGTGCTCCAGCTACCTTCTCCTGTGCTCCAGGTACCTTCTCCTGTGCTCCAGGTACCTTCTCCTGTGCTCCAGGTACCTTCTCCTGTGCTCCAGGTACCTTCTCCTGTGCTCCAGGTACCTTCTCCTGTGCTCCAGCTACCTTCTCCTGTGCTCCAGGTACCTTCTCCTGTGCTCCAGGTACCTTCTCCTGTGCTCCAGCTACCTTCTCCTGTGCTCCAGCTACCTTCTCCTGTGCTCCAGCTACCTTCTCCTGTGCTCCAGGTACCTTCTCCTGTGCTCCAGGTACTTTCTCCTGTGCTCCAGCTACCTTCTCCTGTGCTCCAGCTACCTTCTCCTGTGCTCCAGGTACCTTCTCCTGTGCTCCAGGTACCTTCTCCTGTGCTCCAGGTACCTTCTCCTGTGCTCCAGCTACCTTCTCCTGTGCTCCAGGTACCTTCTCCTGTGCTCCAGGTACCTTCTCCTGTGCTCCAGGTACCTTCTCCTGTGCTCCAGGTACCTTCTCCTGTGCTCCAGGTACCTTCTCCTATGCTCCAGGTACCTTCTCCTGTGCTCCAGGTACCTTCTCCTGTGCTCCAGGTACCTTCTCCTGTGCTCCAGGTACCTTCTCCTGTGCTCCAGCTACCTTCTCCTGTGCTCCAGGTACCTTCTCCTGTGCTCCAGGTACCTTCTCCTGTGCTCCAGGTACCTTCTCCTGTGCTCCAGGTACCTTCTCCTGTGCTCCAGGTACCTTCTCCTCTGCTCCAGCTACCTTCTCCTGTGCTCCAGGTACCTTCTCCTGTGCTCCAGGTACCTTCTCCTGTGCTCCAGCTACCTTCTCCTGTGCTCCAGCTACCTTCTCCTGTGCTCCAGGTACCTTCTCCTGTGCTCCAGGTACCTTCTCCTGTGCTCCAGGTACCTTCTCCTGTGCTCCAGGTACCTTCTCCTTTGCTCCAAGTACCTTCTCCTGTGCTCCAGCTGAGCCAAGTTCTGCGGTGCTCGAAGTACCTTCTCCCATGCTCCAGGTAACTTTTCTGTTTTGTTTGCACTGAGGGTGTTCTCTCAACTACTAGTAATGAAAATGTGGACTTGTGCTTTAAGAGCACGGTATGCGGAGTATGAATGTGTGGAAGGTATGAAAATGTGGACTTGTACTGTAGGGCATGCCGCACGATTAAGGCTGCCCTGTGTATATCCCTCTTTGTCCGCCTCAGGCTAGACATTCGGATTGTTGTCTCGTAGTTCCCCGCATAAAATACAGGGTAGAATTTTTTGCATACTTGCACCACCTAGATTCCGCTGTGCCCACAACAGATTCAATGCAGCACGACGAAGGAATGAGAGCATCGTTTTTTAATTAGAAAGAGCACGTCAGAGTGTAAAACGTTTTGTCTGACCGTACTTAAGGGTTTTATTCCACACTGGGCTGCATGCAGGTGACACCAGCACCACCTACACCGTGCTCTCTCCCAACTTTCGCTGCTCCGACGTCTTCCCAGTCTACGGCCTCACGCTCTCCCAGTTCCAAGCCCAGAATGTGCGTCTCGTGCACCCTTTGAGAAATCTACAGAGATATACAAGCAGATTGATAGGACCATGCATCTCCTGCTCCCACACCCCACCAGCAGTTGTGTTGGTGTATTTTGCCCTGCAACTCAACTCACGCACATGCTCCTGCCTTTCTATGCGTGCATGGGTGTGTGCCGCGTCTCTTCATGCCTCTCCCTCGGTGTGTGCAGCCATCGGTGTTGTGTGCAGCACCCATCCCACCCTCCACTGTCCTCAACGTGGCCAGCCCAGCCTCTCTCATCCCCTGCTCCGTCTTCTACACCACTCAGCAGGTCTCACCTCGCACCTTTCCAGCCAATACACTACTCCTCGTCTTCCCGTATCTTCACCTCCGCCCATGTCCTTCTCTGCCATTCCCCCATCCCTTCCTCATCCATCACACCTCAAATGCCATTCCTAACCTCACATAAACCGCTTCTTCGCCTCACATCTCTTCACTGATTAGAGCCCTCACACTCTCTCGCTCACAGCCCCCTCTCCCTCCCACCTCCTCCTCCCTGCATCTCGTTCTCAGGGCGACACCTGTGCAGACCTAGCGTTGTATTTCAAACTGCGCTCGTCCTGCCCATCTGCCAGCTGCACATTCAAATTCCAGGCGCTCAACCCCAGCTTGGACTGCACTGCCAACGGCGGGCTGCTGCAGCCCGAGCAGGCGGTGTGTGTGGAGAGGGTTACTGAGAAAGTGGGGCTCATCCCGGTGTGCTCGCAGTACTACCTGGTGCAGAGCGCAGAGACGTGCGAGTCCATCCGCAACGTGCCCTTCCCCGCTTTGAGTCCCATTGATTTTTTCCGGCTCAACCCCGGCATCAAGTGCAGCCGCCTCATTCCAAAGACCAATGTTGACGGCTTCACTGGCTTTGAGGTGCGTGTCTGTTTCCTTCTTTCTGGATCAATCTTCTTTCCTCTCTTTCATCTACTGTCATCTCTTCTCCCTCATGCTTACTGCGTAGCTGGTTCTTTCATAATTGCTAACCTACTGGTTCTCTCATGACTGCGCTCTTTTTACTCTCTTCTCTTTTCCTTCTTTAATCCACCCCTCCCTCCCCCCTCCCTTTCCCCTGCACCCCCCCTAGGCATGCATCGCGAGCTCCACGTCGTACACTCAGGGAAAGTGTCCGCGTGCGAATGCGTATGTGGTGGGGACAGGCGACAGGTGCACGGCCATTCAGGTGAAGTTCTTCCGGGGCATCAAGGGCTGCTACAGGAAAGTCAACGGATACGACTGCATCGACAAGCTCGTCAAATCAACTCGCGTGTGCCTGCCTGACAAAGTCAAGCTTCAGAAAGGAGTCTGCGACAACTGACCTCCTGCAGGCTGTCTGCATCTGCCGTGCTGGCCAGGTCTGGCTTCGGTGCTCTCAACCGAATGCTGTACCTGTGAGTGAGTAGCATACCGAGATTTGAGACGTCCCAAAACTGCTGCATGCGTCATGCATTCTTCCAGCAACCTCTCCCACAACCACCTTTCAGGCAGCATCCCGGCAGGCTTCGGTGTCCTCAACCGAATGCTGCCTATAAGTGCTTACCAGGTGGGACAGGATCTCAGTGTGCTTATGCACAACATGATGCTTCGTCCTTCACTGATGGACCGCGGCAAACCTAGCCTTGTCAATGCCCTGATGGCTTGCGAGGAATACGGGTATGGTTTGGCTGAGTAATACTACCGCCCTGATATATGATAGTGTCGAATTGAAGACACAGTATTGGGGTGTATTCTTATAAAGAGCTTTTTAATAAGGGACCCTGCTATCGAACCATAATTTTTTATGTGTTAGATCTCTTAGAGTTTAGTGCGTTGCATTGTATAGGGCAAAGCATTTTCTACCATAGTTTAGGCTTAGTTAAATGTATCACCTTGTTACCCAGTCAACCGTACAGGTGTCCTCTCGACACCTATCACCAATATAAGATAGAACGCACAATAATATATCACGCTTTTCAAAATGATGTGCTTTTAATCGAGGCCCGGATTTAGGTGCAGTGTTTTAGATAAAAGCGCATGCGCTTCTCATATCCACCGGGACACGGTATATACACCGGGGTTTACTGCTTCTCGTACGCCCCCAACTTTTAAAAGTGCATGTTTGGTCGTTTCATACCAAAGCTCTCGCGTCGTTTTCGGTTTTCCCTTGCCCAACCTGCACCCAACATCGTGATCCCGAGATTCCCACCTAGCCATGTTAGCGTGCTACGTCACCTAGTATAATTCATTGTATCGTCGGTCCATATTGTCTCACAGCTTCAGTGTTCGTTATTCCGCGCAACTCTATTGAACAGCTCTTAGGGCGTATTCCTATCCTCCTATCAATCTGACCTCCTATCAAGCTCATACTTAAAAATACTCTAAACCCAAAACCTCTCGCTCCGGGCTCTCACCTCGCCGAGCCGCCCTAGCGCCCCCCCCCCCTACGCCCTAGCGGCCCCTTCCCCTAGCGGCCCCGCCGCCCTTCGTTTCGGCCCCGCCGCCCTTTAGTGCGGCCCCGCCGCCCGTCACAGCGGCCCCGTCGCCCCGCATCGCGGCCCCGCCGCCCGTCTCCGCGGCCTCGCCGCCCGTCGCTGCGGCCCCGCCCCTACTCAGCGGCCCCGCCGCCCTTCTCCTCAGTGGCCCCGCCGCCCTACCCAGCGGCCCCGCCGCCCTTCTCCTCAGCGGCCCCGCCGCCCTACTCAGCGGCCCCGCCGCCCTTCTCCACGGCCCTGCCGCCCTTCTCCTCAACGGCCCCGCCGCCCTACTCAGCGGCCCCGCCGCCCTTCTCCTCAGCGGCCCCGCCGCACTACTCAGCGGCCCCGCCGCCCTTCTCCTCAGCAGCCCCGCGGCCCTACTTAGCGGCCCCGCTGCCCTTCTCCTCAGCGGCCCCGCCGCCCTGCTCAGCGCCCCCGCCGCCCTACTCAGCGGCCCCGCCGCCCTTCCGCACCGGCCTCGCCGCCCTTCTCAGCGGCCAGCCGCCCCTCGCACGAGCGGCCCTGCCGCCCTACACCGCCCGCGCCGCCCGAGCCGCCCGAACCGCCGAGCCTCCCGAGCCGCCCGACCTGCCCGAGCTGCCCGAGCCGCCCGAGCCGCCCGACTCTCCTGAGCCGCCCGAGCCGCCCGACCAGCCCGAGCCGCCCGAGCCACCCGAGCCGCCCGAGCCACCCGAGCCGCCTGAGCCGCCCGAGCCGCCTGAGGAGCCGAGCCGCTGGTGCCACGGAGCCGTAGTTGCTGCAGTGCCGTCCGAGCAGCCGTGTTGCCGTGCTACTGTACCACTGAGCTGCCTGACCCGCCCTACCTGGTGAGAGCAGCGCTTCTGTCACTGCACTGCCCCTGTCCTACAGTTGGTACTACTAGTCCACTGTTGTCATGGCTACCCCCAGTGTTCTCGCTTTTGACGCTGAGGGTCGAGCCATTGACTTTGAGGTTTGGGTGGATGACCTGCAGCTTTTCCTACAGTGCGATAGGGCAGACGGTCTTTCCCTCTTTGACCTCACCTCTGGTGCTTCCCCTGCCCCTGCTGCCGATGCCGACGCCACTGTTCGCTCCCGGTGGGCCACTCGCAATGCTGCTGCACGTCTTGCTGTGCGTCGCCACCTGCCTACCACTGAGTGCGCGCACTTTAGCCAGTACAAGAGTGCTCAGACCTTGTACGAACCTGTCGTTGCACGCTACTCCTCCCCTGCCACTGCTGCACTGAGCCGCCTCATGCTACCGTACCTCTTTCCTGACCTTGCTGCCTTTCCCACAGTCGCTGACCTCATTACGCACCTCCGCACTAGTGACACTCGCTACCGCGCCGCGCTTCCTGCTGAGTTCTGCGCCAAGAACCCCCCCCCCCCCCCCCATGTACATCACTCTCTATTATATAGTCACCCGCCTCCCTGACTCCCTTTGTGTAATCAGGGACCACTTCCTCTCAGTCTGTCCCACCACTCTCACTGTTGACCTCCTAGAGAAGGCCCTCCTAGCGGCGGAGAAGAGCATAGTCGTTGTAGGAGCCTCTCGTCGTGACCCTCGCACCCCCATCTTTGAGGGGTATTCCCCTTCCCCCCTGTTGCCCTCTGTCGCCTCTACCGCTGCGGCCGACCTCGTTGGTCTTGAGTCGGTCGGTGCGGCGTCTGCCCCTAGCGGGAGACGCCGCTCTAGCGAGGGCAAGGGGGGCAAGGGCGCGGGTGGGGCTAGCGGGGGTAGTGGAGGAGGCGGTGGGGGCGACGGGGGGAGTGGGGGTGGCGGTTGGAGTGGTGGCGGGGGTGGAGGTGGCGGTGGCAGCGGCGGAGGCGGCGGTGGCGGTAGCGGTGGGAGCGGAGGCGGCGGTGGCGGCGGAGGTGGAGGCGGCGGTGGTGGAGGAGGTGGAGCTGGTCGGGGTGGTTCTTCTCAGCGGAGCGGCTCCGGGAGTGGTCAGCGGCAGCAGCAGCAGCAGCAGTAGCAGCGTTCTCGGGACATCCTCCCTCAGCAGCTCCGTGAGTGGTACACGCAGCGTCAGCGTGGTGGGGGTTTTGGCGCGTGCACCTACGTCCTTCGCTCTGGCGACCGCGCGGGTGAGCAGTGTGGGGGTGCTCACCCCACCCAGCGCTGCTTTGGCCGCCTGACGGACGCTTGGCGTCAGCAGTTCCCGGAGGCTAGTGAGATCCCCTGCTGGGGAGAGCTGTCTAGGGCATGCGTAGTTATCTTTGATCTTGACTTTGATGTTATCCTTGCTGCCATGTATGCTGTGACTATTAGTGATGAGGGTGACTCTTACCGGTGTTTCCCGCTCGACCCGGGCATTGGTGAGGCTGCTGCTCTAGGTGCTAGTGCGTCCGCGCCCTCAGGTGCTGGTGAGTCTGCGCTCTCAGGTACCACGTCGGCTTCGGCCTCCCTCACCTTCACACTTGACTCAGGGGCTTCTCGCTCCTTCTTTCAAGACCGCACCACACTCACGCCGCTTGGTCGGCCAGTTTCAGTCTCCCTGGCAGACCCCTTTGGAGGTCTTGTCCTCTCTGACATCTCCACTGTCCTCCCGTGTCCGGCTGCCCCCTTTGGCACCTTGTCTGGTCTTTACCTCCCCTCGTTCTCTACGAACTTGGTGAGTGGTGCTGACCTGCAGGATACGGGGGTTCACCAGTTCACTCCTGCGAGTCAGCGGGTGACCCACTGCACTGACGCTTGGACAGGCCGACACCTGGCCACGTTTACACGTCGGCCGAGGTCGAGCCTGTACACACTGACCACTGCGTCTCCTTCAGTCACTGTGTCTGGTCAGGTAGCTGCGTCGGCTCAGGTGTTTGCTGCAGCGTCCAGGTCTGGTCCTGAGTCTGCCCCCTGCTCGTGTCGCCTCCTGTCTCACGAGACTCTCCTCTGGCACCACCGTCTTGGTCACCCCTCCCTGCCTCGTCTCCGAGGCATGGCTTCCCGTGTCCTTGTCTCTGGTCTTCCCCGGTCACTCCCTCCCCTTCCTCCGGGGCCTGGTCCTTCCTGTGTCCCGTGTGTCGAGGGGCGGCTCCGAGCTGCCCCTCACTCCTCTCAGTTTCCCCCGACAGAGGCCCCGCTGCAGACGCTTCACATGGACGTGTGGGGCCCGGCCCGCGTCCGTGGACTGGGTCACGAGCGCTACTTCCTGTTGGTGGTTGACGACTTCTCGCGTTACACCACAGTCTTCCCCTTGCGCAGCAAGGGTGATGTCGCTGAGGTGTTGATCGAGTGGATCCGCGCAGCTCGTCTCCAGCTCAGGAGGAGCTTTGGCTCGGACTTTCCTGTTCTGCGTCTGCACTCTGACCGAGCCGGAGAGTTCTCCTTTGGCCTTCTGCAACCCTACTGTCGTGCGCGAGGCATCCGCCAGACCTTTACGCTTCCGGACTCTCCACAGCAAAATGGGATTGCTGGCATGGTCATGGACGTCGCTCGTACGTCCATGATGCATGCAGCTGCCCCCGATTTTCTGTGGCCGTTTGCGGTTCGGTACGCGGCGCATCAGATCAACCTTCACCCTAGGGTCTCCAGGCCGGAGACCTCCCCAGCCTTGCTGTGGACGGGGAAGGTCGGGGATGCGTCTGCGTTCCGTGTCTGGGGATCTCTGGCGTTTGTCCGCGACTTGTCTGCGGACAAGCTGTCCCCTCGTGCTGCTCCCTGTGTCTTCCTTGGCTTCCCCCCTGACGCCCCTGGGTGGCAGTTCTACCACCCCACCTCTCGTCGTGTTCTGTCCTCCCAGGATGTCACGTTCGACGAGTCAGTACCCTACTACCACCTCTTCCCCTACCGCACTCCTTCCCTCCCCCCGCCACCGCACTTCCTTGTGCCAGGTTCCCCCCCAGTAGACCCCCTCCCCCCTCAGGGTCCTGCCCCTTCAGGTGTGTCCCA